TCAAAGTGGTTTATTACAAAAGAATAATTTTAGCATCTCTTATCTCTTTTGTCGGACTGCGTGGCTACTTAGCTTATAAAGAACCTAAAATCAGGCTAGCTAAAAGGCAGACTGTCCAAGATAAGGGTGTTTATTGTGAAAAGGTTTTTTAGATAATTTTATTTTTATATTTTTTTTGTTGTATGATTATGCTATGCAACAAACAAATGTACACACAATTCACTCATCCGAGAACAAGTACGACGACGTTTTTATCACGAGGTAGGGTATCCTGCAGAAGAGTGCATATTCAAGGTAGTTCTAAATATTCTCACCAAGGCTAGGTCCCCCAAGGTGCCCCCATTATAGGGTCCCCACTCTCCCAGCCTTCAGACCATGCATGGCACTATGGCCTTGTCAGTCTTTGGGCCAAAAGAAGAAGGTTATCACCTTGAGTGGTGGTTTTCGACCATACCGGTGGGCTCATGGCCCTTACTACGGCAAATTGTACAATGCCACCCACTCCCTAAGGTTATCTCACTTGCCCCCGGGTATAGGAGAAACTGTTGTATGCAAGGGTTTGTGTACAGTTGTTATTTCTAACAATTGCATAAAGTAAGCATACAACAGTTATTAAAGCCAAGTAATAAATCATGATATAAAAGCAAGGAAGGGTAAAAGCGTAATTTCAAGTTTTTATTTCTTAAAATAATTCATCACTAAATGGGATCAACTCTCTAGCTTCCCCAGTGGAGTCGCCATCTGTCATAGCCGTCAAAAGAGACGGTCGGAGTGATGCGATGGTTTTGTTGACTCGCGTTTTTTAAAGTGTGGTTCAACGCCTTTAAGTTGTCCTATAATTGGGCTGAACCTAAGGGTGAGGTTTTTGAAAGGGTTCGAGGAGTCGCCACTAATATTTTTACCAAAAACATTGGAAAAGGAAAAGAAGGCAATGGTTTTTAAGAAAAACCAACTTTGGTCATTACAACCAGAGTTAGGTAAGGGAGTTAGTTACGTGTGGGGAAGGTATTAGCTTCCCCACGACGCCCCTTTCGGGTTCCCTATGATGGACCATTTTTTATAAAGAAATAAGAACTTTAAAACTACGCTTTTACCTTTATTTATTCATTGCAAAAATTAAGTTATCGACTACATGGCCCTTAATAAATAATGCACAGAGATAGTATCTAAAAAGCAATAAAATAGAGAAAGAGGTATGGAAGAACCTTCGAAGCAAGCTTTTATATAATATGCTCTTGAAAAGGGCGCTTTTTGGCGAACCCCCCACTCTACAAAGCAGCTCACTCTTCTCTCGAAGCACTTTATAACGCTTCCTAAGAACTCTAGAACTTTGGAAATGCTTCAGAGGGGTTTTAGGAGAGTATTTTGAGAATTGTGCAGTAGGGGAAGTTGTAGAATGGTGTGAAAACAGTGAGAAGGTCCCCCCCTTTTATAGGAATTTGCACCGGTCAGGTCGGGACCGTCGTCTCGCCAAACAAGACGGCGATCTCGCCTTCGACAAATGGCGAGATGGTCATCTCGCCAAACGAGACAACGTTCTCATCTTTGGTGAGTGGCGAGACGGCGGTCTGGTCAAACAAGACGGTGGTCTCGACCATTTGGGTGGAATTTCTTATTTTTCGTGTACAAAAATCCTTCATATTCTAATATGGGACCTATTGATCAATCCTAGGGACCTTTTAGGCCTTGCCCATCTTCGAACGGAAGTCTTCTGCTCTTTATTTTGAGGCCGGGTAAGATTTTGGGTCTACAATGCCCTAACTTTTGCCCAGACCGCCTTTGCGGGTTTTCGATCTAGCGGGCTACTCTAACTTTTGCCTAATAATCTACTAGAAAGTATTATTCTCTTTTTTTTCGCGAGAAAGGACCCATATTCATGCATGCCATGTTCGTGATATGCATCCTATAAAACTATTTCAGTTAATTTTTCAAAAGGATTAACCGATGTACTTTTATTTCTGATGAGCTTCTGACATCATTCTTAGTTGTACCGACATTGTCGTCTCGGATTTGCCATGACCGAAGAATAGTTGTTTTGATTGTAGAGCAACTTGCCATGTCAGTGCGCCTCTCCCTTTTCTTGGGGATGTAAATCCTCCTATTGATTACTATCTCTATATTTCCCTACTAATTACTAGAATGTCGTAGTGGTAAGGGTCAAGTGAAAAGAAGGAAAGTTATTTATTCAAAGGCTTTTGTTTTAGAAGTGTTTTATTTTTGACAAAAATGGTTTTTGTAAGCACGGCTAGCCAAGGTTGGTTAGAGTGTTTAGGCTAGTTTAGACAAATGTTTTGTTTATGAGGTGGCATCTTAAATGATTATTCGATGGCGCCTATCATGACTGAATAACTTCCCTAGTCTGCCCTTTGGGTTTTCAGTCTAGGATGTTGTGATATGTCCTAACTTTTGTCTAGGTTTCCTCTGTTAAACATACAAGGATATGAAGCTTGAAGATTTTGATGATGATTCGAGAACAAAGGACTTAAAGACTTGAAGACTTAGAATCATGTGTATTTTACTTGTAATAACTTTGTTTTATGTTTTTGAGTCTGTATAATTAGAGTACAAGATAGCCAGCACATAGTTCATCATCTGAAAACTCATTTTTATCAAATTCACTCTGTAATAATCGATTATCACTCAGGATAATCGATTATCCTACGCTGAAAATCATTTTTCTAAAAAGCTTGTTGTGATAATCGTTTATCACTCAGGATAATCGATTATCCCAGCCAGATAATCGATTATTTGCACAAATAATCAATTATCCTGGTCCTATTTTACTCCTCTGCGAAAATGGCTCTATAATAATCGATTATCACTCAAGATAATCGATTATCTACGTCTGTTATGAGTTTTGAAATTCAAATCTGGACTAATTTACGAAAACCCTATTCCCAATTCTTATGTTTTCAAAAATCATCATTTTCCAGACTCTATTCTCTCTACTTAAGGTTCTCTAAGGCTTTCTGCAAATTAACAAACCTTTTTCATACAAAAGTTAAGAGTTGTGACTGCTACAGAACTTTCTGTATGGAAGAAAAAGGGGCTTTTGAAAACCTAGTGTGGGCTAGAAGCGATAAGAATCACTGAGTAGGTTTCTTGGTGGATTGTGTGTTATATCGTCTCTAGGAAAAGTTGTTATTCATCATTTGTGGATTCAAAGGAGGTGTTCATCTCTTGTGTGACTCAAGAGAGGTGTTTTCTATTCCTTATCTTTTTCAATTTGTAATATGTTGTAAACTATGATTATAGTGATAGTGTTAATTCTCTTTTTGAGTGATTAGCAACTAGACGTAGGATCTTTTGATCAAAACCAATATAAATCAACTGTGTAATCTTCTCTCCCTTATCTCTTTACTTTACAAAGCATTTTAATCGGTGAAATTTGGGAAAATTTTTAAAACCCTAATTTTTGTTTAAGAAACCAATTCACCCCCCTCTTGGTTTTTCTCCCTAAACGCAAACATTCCGCTGCGCGATTTTAACAAGTGGTATCAGAGCTTGCTTTGATAGTCATTCAAATTTTGAAAATGGCTGGACAAAACCAAACCTTTGTCGAGGGTGCTTCTATCAATAGACCCCCACTTTTTGCCAGGAAAAATTATCCTTTTTGGAAAGTTAGAATGCATATATTTTTGGAGTCTGTTGATAGGGGTGTATGGGATGCAATTGTAAATGGTCCTTTTATTCCAAAAGTTACTGAAAATGGAGAAGAGGTATCTAAACCATTTTCTAGATGGACTGCTGAAGAAAATAGAAAAACTCAATATGATGTTAGGGCTAGGAATATAATTTCGTCTGCTTTAACCCTTGATGAGTTTTACAGGATTTCTATTTGCAATAGTGCTTAAGAAATGTGGGAAATGCTAAGAGTAACCCATGAAGGTACCGATGATGTAAAAAGAGCACGGAAGAACTCATTGATCCAAGAATATGAAATGTTTAGAATGCAAATCTTTGGATAGGAAATGGCAACCAAAGGTGACGACCATCATGGAGCTACAAAATCTTGCTACCATGTCTATAGCAGCTCTCTTTGGGAAGTTGAGAGAGCATGAACTTGAACTCGGAAGGTTAAACGATGAAGAACGCCAACATCAAAAGAGAAATCTAGCCTTCAAAACTGAAGTTTATAAAAGCAAGAACAAGAAGGAGGAAGAAGACTCAAAAAATGAAGAAGATGAAAACTTGAGTCTTACATGGAGCCTGGTAAACATGCCTAGGGGCTTAAAGGAGCCTTGTCCATCTTCGAACGGAGGTTTTTTGGCTTTATTGTGAAGTGGGGCAAGATTTGGGGTCTACAACCGTGACAAAAACAAAAATTAAACAAAGAAAAATAGAGTACTTATATCTCAGTTGTTATACAACCAGGAAAGGACAACCTAAGTAAGATTTTTAGTCTATGGTATTTTAATTATTGTATTTATAGTAACAAGTTTGAACTGAATTGTTTTTAAGCCAAATTGAATTGAATTGGTCTAGAACAATGCTGATTAAAAAACAAATTGGAATGTTCTTGAAATAAGTCTAATTTGACATGAACTATTTAGAACATAACTGATTACAAAAACTTCATTGGTTTTAAACAATTCACTGTAACTTGCATACGATGATAAGAAGTACATGAATAATAGGATGCATACAATGATAAGAAATAAATAATTGCAGGATAGGCTTAGTTGAGACTAGGATTCTACAGTTGCATTGCAAGGTTTTTAAAATTGGTTTTAACGATTTAAAACATGCATTTATGGTTCAAAAACTAAACTTATTTAAACAGCTCGGTTTGGTTTTTCTTAAAAACCCTTTTTTCACATTTGTAATATCTTATTTTCTTTTATAGATGATCACATTTTCAATTCAATTGATTGCCATTCTTTAGTAATATATTTGAGAGAAGTTTTTTCGCTACTTCCTTGGTCAAGACTCAATCAACTAACATATAAGAGTGTTTGTGCTTTAAGATTTTATTTAAAGGGATATCGGTGTTATTGTTAATGGAAAGGTGTGATTGGTTGTTGCCAGCTTCTATGAACAAGGGGAGATCTGGTCGTGGGGTTTCAGAAACAGCTGACAAATTGGGGAAGTTGTGATTATATGATAATGTATTTTTATTTTTATGTTTTTGCTACTTATGTTATTTTTCAAGTATAATTTTTTGCAGACACTTTTTGTTGGCTTATGGGTTGGTTGAGGTGAGTGCAAAGTCATACAAAGGTTATGACTTATGTACCTAACCTAAGACTATACTTTTATATGTCTTTTTTTCTCTTTTTTCCACAATAAATCATGTCTACTTAAAAATAGCCTAGAGATAGCTCATAGCCAAGTTATCCCAAACATCGTGAATTGAAGTCACTTATGGTTCTTGCTATGCTATTTTAATGATAAAAAGTGAATTGCACTGCTATATATTTTTTATAAGGATAGAGTTTTAGTCACATATTCACCAAAAGGTCACGTTTTCCTTGCAAACCAATTTTTTTGTTTCCATTATCAGGGTCTTATAGATGTGTTTCAATAGTATAAAGTATGAATTTATTATATATAGGACGCAGGAGACACTAATGTCTCTTCTATACCTTAGTTACATAAAGGATATATAAAATATTCTTGCAACTTATTTATTTCTAACGTCGTTAGAAAAATATAAAAATGGATAAATCATGAATTGATATGTCATAGAATATAATTGAATATTTAGATGGACTAAATAGATTTTTAGATTTTGCATTTGAGAATCAATCTGTCAATGGTGCAATAATTTGTCCATGTCCTAAATTTCACTATAACAAATGGGAAACTAGAGATGTTGTGTTTGACCACTTGATTTGCAAACAAATTCCAATAGATTATAAAGTTTGGATTTGGCATGGGGAAACATATGAAACAATAACATCAAGGGGAAATAAAGGAGTAAATATGTCATTACAAAATGAAAATTCAATGATAGATGTGATAAATGATGCATTCAAGATGAATAGACACCATAATGTAGAGTCTAACATGTGTGACAAACAAGTTGAGTTTGTATAAATCATTCCCAATGAAAAATGTGAATAGTATGATGATTTGATTATATAGATTGCAACCAAGAGTTATATGAAGGGTGTCAAAAGTACTCAAACTTGTCTTTTCTATTAAGATTGTATCATAAAAAATGTTTGTGTGGTACGACTAACAAGGCTATGATGATGATTTTAGAGTTATTGGCAAATGCATTTTCATATGCAAATTTCCCTATTTCATTTTAAGTCAAAGAAGGTGATTTATAAGTTTGGTCTTAATTATACCAAGATAGATGTTTGCCAAAAAAATGCATGTTGTATTGGGGAGAATATGAAAAATTGGAGAGATGTAAATATTGTAAGAAATCTAGATGAAAAGAAAAGGGTACTAGTAGTAAAAAGAAAATACCAACAAGATTTTACGTTACTTTCCCTTGAAACTAAGGTTGCAGAGAATGTCCCAAAACAGCAAAGTTCATGAGAGAACATGTTTTAAACAATAATCCATATGGACTATTGAGGAATCCAAGAGATGTTAAAGCATGAAAGAGTTTTGATCAACTTCAATCTGAGTTTACTTTAGAACCAAGAAATTTTTGTCTTGGCCTTGCAACCGATGGATTTAATCCATATCGAACCACGAACAATAGCCATAGTATATGGCCAATGATTCTAATTCCATACAATCGACCTCCTTGGGAATGCATGAAGCAATCCTCATTTATTCTTTCTATGATCATCCCAGGAAAAAAATGACAGGAAACAAGATAGATCTATATCTACAATCTCTAGTGAAAGAGTTGAATGAGTTATGGACAAAAGATGCAGAGACTTATGATGATTTGTTTGATAGAAATGTTTATAATGCAAGTTGCTCTCATGTGGACAATTAGTGATTTTGCTTAACTTTGTATTTTATCTGGGTGGAACACTTATACAGGTTATGCTTGCCCAACTTGTAATTTTGATGCAGTCCCTTGTTGATTAAGACGTAGTAACAAATGGTGTTTCATGGGTCATCAAAGGTTTTTAGAAAGGAGTTATATATTTAGATTGATGAAGAAAAACTTTGATGAAACAATTGAGAAAAGTGGAGCACCAAAATCATTATATGGGTTAGAAATTATGAAACAATTTGATGTCATAACCTTTGATAGAAATCTTGAGTCAAATAGTAGAGGGAACCAATGAAAAAAAAAAGTAAAGCATATTGTTCAATCTTCCTTATTGGAAAGATGATCTTTTACTTCATAACCTTGATGTTATGCATATTAAAAAAATGTGTGTAATGATATGTTGTATACTATGCTTAAAGAGGAAAAAAAACTTAAAAAGGCATACAAGATAAAAGAATTAAGTCAAAGTGAATGGAGGGAAAAGACTTTGGCAGTGTTATGTATGCAACACATTGACAATGGTGTTTGTAAAATGAAATTGATTATGGTGAGAAAAGATAATAGTGTAGGAACAATGAAGTTAAGAAGGACTAGTACAACCACAACTGTCAGGTTTAAGGGTTCCTTGGCGTAGCATTAAAGATACTATTTCATATCTTCCCTCACACATTACCACCACCACCACCCAAATGACAATTCTTCCTAAACTAATGCAATAAAATGGAAGCAACCAACTTTTATAAGAGGAAAAATGCATTTATGTCTTAATGAATTTTAGTTTGGAGAAAAACAAAAAGAAATGGGTTATGGTTCTAAGCATTTTTCCATTATCTTCACCATCACCCTTTTGATGCTCCTATCATCACAAAGCACCCTCATTTTGATTGTGTAGGTTCTCTGTTCAATGCATTTGGAAACTTTCAAGTTCGTGGCTTACCAGAGATGTATTTCATTGAAGAGAATGATGAAAAGGAGATTAAGAAAATCTCAGGACGTGATGAAAATGAACAGAAGTAAGCTTTGATAATGGACAAGTTTAGATCCTTGCTTGGACATGAAAGTTTATTTTTTAAGCTTCCCCGTTTCACCCCAATTACATTAACAATATTTAATACTAACCACCTGAAGCACAATATTCAAGGGTGGAATGAATCACCAGCAAAGCACAAGTTTAATTTATATAGCTAATTTTCTCTCCATAATTTTTAAAATTAAATTTTTCAACCAAAATATCATACTTTTAACTTGTTAATTAAATTTGATTTAAGGGTTAAGTATATTTTTAGTCCCTGTACTTTCATGTGAAATTGGAAATAGTCTCTCTGTCAAAGTTCACATAAAAATGATCCATATACTTTTGAAATAATTGGAATAGGTCCCTATTTTAAACGGCATTAAATATGTGGTGATCTATCTAACAGAGATAGTATGACTCATTCATTATTTGACACGTGTAATTATTTTAAAAAAAAAAAAGCAAAACTCTTCTTTAAAAAAAATAGAAATTATTCAACGAGAGATTATTATTTAAAAAAAAAACAAAATTAAAAAGTAGAAGTTTTTCTTTTCTCTTCACGCTCGAAAGCTCTTCATTTCTCGTCACAACCACTTTTCATTCTCTCTTCTTTTCTCATCACAACTACTTTTTGTTCTTTCTTCTTTTCTCGTCACACAACAAAGGTATTTTCTTTCTTCCCCTTTCTCTCGTAAAGGTTGTATGAAGTCAAAGTGACTTTGAAGTTCGAGAGTTTTATCGGTTCGTTGTAGTTCGATCGACAAGTGCGACGGTGGTGCATAACTGGCAGTGTGCGACGGTGGTATACCATAACTAGGGTTTTCATTTCCAAAAATTAAGGTAGAGAAGTTTAAATGGCTTATAAATGGCAGAGAAGTTTAAATTTATTTTTAAATGACTTTTAAATAACTTTTAAATGTTATAAATGCGGATTTAAATGACTTTTAAAAGCTTAACACCTTTTAATTTTATTTAATTTTATTTTTTTAATAATTACACGTGTCAAATAATGAATGAGTCATATCATTTCTCGTTAGACGTGTCAAGCATAATTTAATGTCTGTTTAAATTATGGACCTATTTCAATCATTTCAAAAGTATAAGAATCATTTTTATGTGAATTATGACAGAGGAACTATTTTCAATTTTACATGAAATTATAGGGACTAAAAACATACTTAACCCTTGATTTAATTATAAGAATCATGATAGATACCAGGCTTTATATTGTTTGTTGAGAAATGCAATGTTCTTAAAATGTGGTCTTTATCTAGTATCTGTATGCAAGTCTTATCATTGGTCACTTTTTCTTTTATTTTGATTTAATAGTTTTTCAAATTCCATCATGAGTTTATTAAAATTAATGAATGATATAAATATTGTCATGTATGCAAGTCTTATCATTGGTCACTTTTTCTTTTATTTTGATTTAATAGTTTTTCAAATTCCCTCATGAGTTTATTAAAATTAATGAATGATATAAATATTGTCATCTATTTTATTTATAGGAAAAAATAACAAATAAAATGATTCAAAGTGTCAATTTTACAGAAATTTCAAATGATTGTGTTAGTAAAGTGTTGAGAAAGGATCATCCTAGATGTGTACATTTCCTAGGACTAGGAGGCCTTCATACTATTGCATTTCAGTCTACCACAAGATTTAGTAGTGCAGGGTATAATTTCTGGAAGCTCTCAATTGAAAGAAGAAAAAAAAAAATTAGCAACTTTTAAAGAAACTGTTAAAATAGTAAAAAGTGTCATGCTCACATCCAAACGAATGAAGGACATATTCCTCTTTGAGTTGGGTGTCATGTTGGTAGTACAAGTAATATATATATAAGTACTTTATATTTTATTTTAAATAAAATTATATTATTTAATACTTGTATGAAGTTCAATATCTTATATATAATTTTTAATTATACTTACATTATATGATATTTATTTTATAAGATAAAGAGAGTGGACAAGATATGTCAATACCACAATAAATATAGTAATTTTCATAGAGTTTGACACTATATGAAAGTACTTCATATTTTGTGTTAATGGAATTATATTTAATTACTTATATAGAGTTTAATATCTTGTATATATTTTTTTAATTATACTTGATGATAGGATTTTTATTTCACTTCAAAGGATGAAAAGAGAAAATGAAATATACGAATATCATAGAAAAATATTTATTGGATAGTAATTTTCAACATTATATTTTGTTAAATACAAGATATTAAGTTTTTTATATATGTTTTTAAATTTGTGAACCTATTAATATTATATCTTATTATATATACTTAATAAATAATGTGATGAATTTTATTAGACTTTTAGAATGAAATTTTGTTTTATCTTAATTAATATTAAATTATATTTAACTAAGCCTTTATAAAAGTGAATCATATATAAAAACTACATATTTAATATTTTTTAGTAAAAATCAAATTAATATTTTATATGTTATTGAAACAAATAAAAAATATATTATAGATATTATTAGGTTCTTTTTAATATGAATAGTTTAACCTATATTTAGATTATTGATTTTATTATAATGGTAAAATTATTATTATACTTAGTAATTTAAAATAGATATAGATTTATTAATTATAAATTATTAAAAAATTAATTTATAAATAATAATTAAAATTTTGATTCATTAATAAAATAATTAAAAAAAGTAATTAAATTATTTTTGGCAGTTTCTTGAACCTCCAATAAGTTTTAAATAATTATAAAATATTATATATTTTATAACAATTTTAATTATTAGAATATAAAAAATAATTATAAAATAAAAATAAAATTTGTAACAATTTCAAAGATAATAAAATACTAAATTTAAATGAAAATTATAATATATTTTGTGACGATTTTTAATGATTGAATTTTTATTTTACATAAATACTAAAATTTTAAAAATTTCAGTCACAACTCATTTTTAACATACAAATACGATGGTTATTTTAATTTTTTTAGTGATTTTTAACTCTAAATTTTTCAATTTTAATAATCACAACTAACATAATTTATTAGATAAATATATTATAATGCTATAATTTAAATTATAAATATTAATTAACTAAATTTAAATTATTAATTATAATTAATTATTTTAATTATAAATATAATATTTTTTTAATTTATTTAATAAAAAATATTAATTAATAAAAAATATAAAATTATTTATATAATTAAAGAGGTATTAAAAAAATATATGTAAAAAAATAATAATATAATTAATCTTTTAAAAGAACATGTTAAAATCTGAAATTCGTCTAGATGACGAATTAGACTAATTTATTTATTTATATATATATATATATATATATATATATATATATATATATATATATATATATATATATATATATATATATATATATATATATATATATATTCCTTACCTGGTGTTAAGGTAAGTGATGGCTGCATCCTTCGGGACAATTTTTCGGGAAGTAAACTGAATTTATGGGCAGTTTCCACCCATTTCTTGGAACTCATAACGCTTTTCACACTAAATTAATTGCTGCTATGATTGCCATTAAGTAGGCTTCGTTACGTAGGAATTTGTGGCTGGATGTAACTCTAAACTGGTGGTTGAGGCTTTCATAAATAAAGTTATTATTCATTGGAGCTTGAGGGGGATGTTGGAAGAATTATTTTGATCTTTGTAAGCATATGATCGTAGAGTATCCTATATTCTTAGAGAGGGGAATAACTGTGCAAATAGACTTGTTAATCTAGGTTTTGCTTAGGCATAGCAACAAGAAGGGGTGGGTTTTGTCTCCCAATTTTTTATTCTGACTTTTTTAACCATCCTTTTTTCTATCTTCAATTTCCATTAGGATTAAAAATTAAGTTATTATCCTCGTCTCCACTGGGTTTCGGGTTCCCTACCCTGTCTCGTCCCCAATCTATATTATTTTTAAAAAGATAATTATATTTATAATAAATTAATTTTATTATGTATTTTTTATATATAAATAAATATTTATAATTATTATTAATTAAATATACATTTTAATTTATTATATTTATATTAAAACATGTATGTAAAAAATATTTAATTATTTTTTATTTATATATAGAGAGAAAATATTTATAAAATTATTATTATTATTATTATATTTAAATATTTGAATACTTATATCATTATTATTATTATTATACTGTATTCAAACATTTAATTATATATATAATTTAATTTATTTTTAAGTTATCATTTAAAAGTATGAAATATATAATTTATAAAAAAATATTTAATAAGTTAATTCTTATTTAATTAGTTCGAAGTAATAAAAGTTTAAATTATAAATTTCTTTTAATCCTTTGAAATATAATTATTTTATTAAAATAAAATTTGATATATGATAAATAAGAATAATAAAATAAAAAAAATATAACATAATAAAACCTAATAAATATAAATTATAAATAAAATAATATTAGTTACTACTAGGGTTTATGTAAAATATTTAGAAAAAAATAAAGAAGAAAAAAATTATTTTGTGTTCATTAAATTGATTGAAAAGATTAAAAAAATAAATAAATTGATGGAAGAAATTAAGGAAATGTAAAAAATAAAAAGGTAAGAGAGAATAATGTAATAAATTAATTGATATAAAAGATTAAAAAAGATAAAAAAAATTAAAAGTGGGTAGAAGAAAAATAAAAATTGGTGAAATATTAAAAAAAGAACATTATATGTAATAGAAAAAAAAATACATCTAAAGTATTAATATTTTAAATTTAAATATAAAGTCGAGGCGGGGACGGAGTCGGGGTCGGAGTGGGGATTGCATTACTCATCCCCGCCTCCACCCCCGACTTTTTAAAGCGGAGAAAACCTGAACCCGCTCCTGCCCCCACCTCCGATCAACTTAAGTTTTTCACGTCAAACTTGAAGTGGAGACGAATCAATTCTCACGGGTACGAGTTTAATTCTCATCCCTCTTACTTGAGACACCTTTTGTTTGCTTGAAGAATTACCTTTTGTATTCAAGTTGCTTTTTGTTAGGAATAGATTCAATATAACTAAATTTAGGTTCGTTTATATTCCTCATGAGTTTTGTTGGGTCTTCGTGATTATATCTGTTTTCTTTCTTTTATTTTATTTAACATGGACTTTCGATTTATGGGTTATGGAGTCTTAACCTAGTTAACTTTTTCCTAAACATAAGAGGTACGTAGCTTTCTAATGCTTTCCATTCCTATATAAACAGAAAACAGTGAAAAAAAAAAAATTTAACCTTTGTAAATTTAGTCGGTCTGTCCTCTAAAAATTAGATGTCAAGAATTAGTTTGTGACAGTGAGGAAAGTTACAAATCTCAATCAGTTCCATAAAAAAATGGATGGATGAATTAATATCTTAGTCCGTTCAATTTTTTTTAATATATATATATATATATATATATATATATATATATATATATATTATATAAATAGTTTTAAGTTTTTTATTAATTAATATTTTTATTAGATAAATTTAAAAAATTATTATATTTATATATTAAATTTTTTAATTATAACTAATAATTTAAATTTAATTAATTAATATTTATACTTTAAATTATAATATATATATATATATATATATATATATTTCAATAATATAATAAAGGAAAATATAATACTTTTATTTATAATTTTAATATATAAATATTTTTTAAAAATAAACAAACATTCATCTAATCTATTTTTAGCTTATCTCAAAATAGATTAAATGACTAACTTATTTTATCGTACCAATAAATAATTATTATTTTGTATTTATAAATTTAATATATATATATATATATATATATATATATATATATTGAATTTTAATCACTGATAAAATATTATATGAAGTTGTTTATAAAAATTAAATAAATAATTTAAGATATACTTTATTTTTATAATGTGATATTATTTTATTAATTAAAATTTAAATACATTTTAAAAATATAATTTTATAATAAAAATATTTTATAATTATATATCAAAATATGTATAATTAAAAAAATAGATATTAATTTTAAAAAAACTATTTTATTTATAAAAATTAATTAATAATGAAATAATAATATTATAATAAAACAAATATATAATTTTAATTTTTATGAGTATTTTTTCTTTATATATATTTTTTTCTTAAACGAGGATAAATAATTTTTACTTTGTTTTTTTTTTTTATCGTACTTACTTCTCTTACTACGAAACATATTTTAAAAGAAAATAAAATATGTTTAAAATTTAAGCCGAATAAAAGTAGATAAAGGTTAGAAGAGGAAAATGTTTTAGTGAAAGATTAAAGAAAAAAAATTAAAGAACTACGTAACTATATTTTTCAAAAGATTAAAATTATAATATCAGTATTTTATATTTAATACTATGAAAGCACAAAAAATAAATAATAGACCATGTAAAAAACTCACAAAGGTATTTACAGATCATGTACATTAATAACCTTATTTTTTATAATAGTTATTTTTAAAAATATATAAAAAAATTTAAATCATATTCACAGTCCGTATTTATTAAATTAAGTCCCAAATTACTTTACTAATTCACAGATTAAATACATAGCAAATGATTTGCTGATGTTAATTGTTAAAACATTCACAATAATCTATCATCTCCCAATTTATTAAAGTGTCTCGTTAAAATTAGTTAACGATTTATTTTTATTTTCTTGCCATTGTTTTTCCTTTTCCACCTCAAAACACAGAAACAGATAAGAAGATGAAGGATTGATTAATCTGAATTTCATTAGTTCTACTGGAATTTATTTTGGTTTCTCTTTTCCATGATGACATTCAATATGCAGTAGTGAGGTGACTCAACGCTACGAACGTTCCATTTGCACTGTAAGTTACTTAATAGTCTTTGTCCACTCAAATTGAGCACATTAATTTAATTTCTTGCAAAATAACAAGATTACAAAAAATCAATAGGAGTTGAATTTGTTTTTTCTGTGATCTCAGGCTGCTAGATCATCGTAGATCGCATAAATGGAGTCACAGATTAACAATCCAAATCCTAACCCTAATCATCGGAATTCGCTACGGTCATCGATGCCGGTATGGCCGACGATCGATGGGTCGTTGGGGTTATCGGAGGAAGAATCGGTGAGCTACGCGCGGAGGTTCTACCAGTTCGGCTTCGCTCTTCTCCCTCTCCTTTGGGCCGTCAATTGCTTCTACTTCTGGCCCGTTCTTCGTCATTCTCACTCCTTCCCTCGCATTCGCCCATGTATCATTAACCTAAACCCTCTTTTATTGCACTTTAATTTCTTGCTTGGGAAATTTTGCACTCCTTTTACCATTTTTCTTTTAAATTGTGGCAATCATTACCGCTTATTATGCATCATTTGCTTCAACTGTTTCTGTTTTCTAATGTCTAGAGCTAGTAATTATCTAGAATTAAAAAGGGGCAGAGAACTGAAACATAGGTTGAACTGATGTATTCAGAATTGAACCTTATGCTCTTTTTAGTATCTGAAGATGATGAGTTTATCACTTAGTGCCTTTCATGATAGTAATTAGTTTCAAATTCATGTCATCCAGAAAGCTGCATTGGTTCATGTCATTCTTGTTAGTTCTTGTTGAATTATTATTATTATTTCTTTTTTTTTACAACTGTTTTCCTTTTGAGTCAATCATGTTTGAGATACGGTAGGATACTACTTGTCGGCACCTTTTGGGAAGAGTATTCAAATCTTGGCAACGACCCTGTCTGAACAGATTGCATCAGAATGTAAACGAATATGGAATAAGAAAACAGTTTATTCAACCATAACTACTAAGAACATGCTTGCTGGTTTACTTTGTTTCATTGTTGAATTAAATCAATATACTTACTGGTTTTAAGTAATTTGGTGGTTAATTTAGATATAATGAATTGGTTTTGAGGCAGGTTCCTTTTTCCTGTTGATTTAGTTTTTTTGACACGTTTGTGCAGATGTTGTTGGATCAGCAGTTGGGTTTGCAGTATTTGCAACACTTATCTCTTCTTGGGCTCTAACATTTGCCATTGGAGGGGAACGCCTCTTCGGACCTGTTTGGGATCAATTGGTTATGTACAATCTTGCTGATAGGTTAGGCCTGACAAGCTGGAGCTAGTTGTGTGGCACCTCTGATACATATATTTTGATCTTTAATTACCACACTTACCTTCTTCCCTGCCTCGTTAATGCACTTGCACTATACATTTTAGTATATTCTGTCATTGAACTGGTAGAGATTTTTATCTTGCTTACACTGTTGATAGATCAACAATGTTTTGGAAGAGGATATAGATCTTGGCTTCTTCACTGCATTGTGTGTTATAATATGTCATTTATGCAACATTTGTTATCTCATTTGATATGTTCTATTATCCAATGTTACAATACAGGGGTTGTTAATTTACCACTTAGCCCTTAGGAGACAATGCAAGCAGGGTAGCTGCTCGGCTATCACTTTCTCCCACAAAATTCATAACTCACTAAGCAAACAGTGTTAGTATGCTGGTTGGCAATATTACTAAAAATATGAAAAGGAAATTCGGATTGATTGTGTTTGTTTTTTTTTTATTTGTTTAAAGCTACTAATTTTAAGTAGTGGTAGTGAGATAGTAAACAAGTGACAGAAATTTGAAAATAGAAAATTAAAACAATTTAAAGATTTTCGAGATTTTTAATTTAAAAAAAAAAAAGTAAATCGTGATAATACTTTGTAAATGGTTTTCAAGAATATGAAACAACCGTCGATGTATATTAACAAAGTGGTTTTTCCATGTGCTTGTTCTGCTGTAACATAGTGAGTTCTATTTGTGCTTGTTTTACTCCAATGATAGTGATCAGTGAGTAACTAAGCTCTCAAAGACTTCAACCCATTCAGAATTCCAAATTGTTGACGAAGCCTTTTAAAGTTGCTAGAAATGAGCTTTCTTAATGGCAACTCAGGAACAAGACCAACTTAATGGCAGCATTTTAGCAGCAGTACAAGTGCCTTCCTAACAGAAACTCCTTGGAAAGAAACCAAGAAACTATAGTTATACATTTATGTAGATGTTCCAAATTACAATTGTATAATTATGTGTCATTCATTAAAATAATTACTTAATTATAATATATATATATATATATATATATATATATATATATATATATATATTTCAAAATACGCAGGTGTAAGTTTAACTAAATATTATATTGCAAAGAAATTTTTGTATAAAATCTGAATTTTCTTTTCATTCACCAGTTAAATTATAATTTAATACTATTATATAATTTTTCTATGTTATATTTTGTTAAAATTGAACAATAATAACAAAATGATCAAATTATTTATATTTTAATATATATTAAAAAAAATATCATTATGTCCATTTTTATTTATACAATTTCTATGATAGAAACTTTCAATTTAGTTATGAGTTTTTTAAAATATATGATTTAATAGAAATATATTAAATGATCTAATATTTTGATAAAGGATATAGTGGTGTAATTTTATCCTTAAAGAATAAACCGGTGTAGTTTAATCCTATATATATATATATATATATATATATATATATATATATATATATATATATATATATATATATATATATATATATATATATATATATATATATATATATATAGCTGGGTACCTTATGCAAGGGAGTATGTCTTCACGGTAGGCAATTTCTTATCTACTGTATTTTTTAATTAATGGTTAATTTTTTTAATTTATTATCTGAATGTGAGAAATAGAATTGGAGAAGAAAAGAAAAAGAAAAAAATTCCTCACATTAACTAAAACCCATTGTTATATAAAGATGACATATTAAATAGTTACATCTAATATTGAACAGACTAAATAAACAAATAAAGTGTAAATAATAAGTATAAATAAAGTAAAAATCGCCGTTGCCGGGGATCGAACCCGGGTCATCCGCGTGACAGGCGGATATACTCACCACTATACTACAACGACTTGACGTCTACTTTTCACATTTTAATATAATTCTTATCCGTATATGTATCTAAATCTTAGGCATATGTTTAATCCTTTGGGAATTAGGTTTTGCTAAAATCCTGACCATGTAATTGATGCAGCCTCCTACGTAAAGTGGCTTGCATTGTCATAAAACTAGAAACTAGATAGTGAAATGAAATTGTGATATTACATTACCCAGAAAAACGCACTCAGAGCTAATATAAATGGTAATGGCGTACAGAAAATAGAAATAAAATACTCTTTTCCTTTCTTGAGATTAGTTGAATTTTACCAGCTGATTTTCATACGGGTGAATGCTTAATGCATTATGAGCTATGATGGTTATGAATGATATCCAGCACTGCCGAAGTCAAATCACTCTCACCATGAAGTTGTGAGTCAGAGAGTGAACTGAGCTTCATCTTTATCTTCTCAACTGATTCCAGAGTGTTCTCAGACTCAGAGGGTATGGAAGAGAGTGATTCTAGTCCTGGATTTTGGCTGTTGAAAACTGAGAACACGGTTGCAACTTGTACACCACGGTTGAGGAAGAAGTGGAACAAGCCCTTGGGGATGACAAAGACGTCGCCAGCATCGAGAGTCTTTTGGAAGAGCCGGTTTTGGGTGTTGAGAAACGCAGCCACCAATCTTCCTTCCCTCACATAGATCATCTCAGTGGCTCTTGGGTGATTGTGGAGGTTCACAAGCCCATCCACTTCAATGTCACTTCTACCGATTGAAAGGCCAAGAGTGTTTAGCCCTGCAAACTTGGAAGCAGTAACAATTTTAACTAGTGAACCAAAATCGTCCCTGGAACCAGGCTTGCTTAGTTCCATGCTCTTGAAATCATGGGCACTTGTGTTATCTGGGTTCTCACAGGAGAGGCCATTGATGAATATGGCTTGCTTTTGGGGTTGAGCACTTGTAGGGCAATAGTCCTTCACGTTATCACATTCCGCTAGACAAACATGTGTGTGAGTAATACCTATAAGAAACACGAGGAAGAAGGAAGAATGGGATTTCACATTCATCTTCAATTGGTTTTTCTCTTGGTCAATGTTGTTTAGTGTTCTTCAACATTATATAGCATAAATTAGCATGTGTGACTTAGGTCTTCATGTAATGAATCTTTGCTAATGTGTTTTTGGGGTTGCAAGAAAAACAAGTTATGGCATTCTTGGAGTTCACTGCTGGTTTAGCCACTGTGATGCATTGCTTGCAAGAAACATTATCTGATCTAATGGGTTGCCTACAACTATTTGTATTTTCACTAGTTCATCAGCAGCTATAAGAATGTGATGGGTTTAGAGTATGAATTTATTTATTCAGTTTAAAATGGTGGAATTCAATAAATCAATCTATCAATTTTTAGGTAATGTTTCTATTTATAACAATTGTTGTCCTGTACGGAATAAGGTTTTGAACATGTGATGTCTTTGCGTACACAGCTCCTACACAATTATGAATTAATCATAGCTGAACTAAAGTTCTTAAATATTATTATATTATAACCGCAAAATGATTTTGGATTTTTTATTTTTATATAATCCTTTATACATTGTAACCCTGCAGCTGTTTAAAGATCAAATATGATTTGAAACGTTTGCTTAATTTTTGTTACTATTTTGTTAGACAGAAAAAAGTATAACCCTCTGTCATCAGTATTTTCGACTAGAGATGGTCCACTCTTTCTAAAAAAAATTGAGATATAATAATATTATAATAGGATGAATGTTTGTTGGGTGAGAGTGTCAACTTATCATTGTTGAAAAAATTATAGTCCACTTAAAGTAGAACCTTAGCTTCATCTAACTGTCAATACCACTCAATACCAAACATATCATACTACCTTATCATCGAGATTCACCAAGATCATACCATGTCACACAGCTCAAAGATCCAAGATTAACTAAATATTTTCCTATACAATTTAATATCTGTGCACATATATATGATGAATAACAATACAATGATTTTCTGACTTTACTAATCTCTTGTGCTATTAATTCTACTATACAAGTTGAAACACTTAATATCTTTATGCCATCTACATAATTTCCTGGCCTTATTCATGCCCTTCATTAACCCCAGTCCAGTGTAGTAAGATGCCAATCACAATCATATAACCAAAGATATAGTAATCTATTTATTTCCGCATACTTCCGCATTGTTAAAAAATTGAAAGGCCTCATCTGATTCAAAATTGTTTTCTGAAGTGTGTATTGAATTCAGTCTATGTTCAACTTCGGTTCTCTGCCAAGAATAACCTTCCTATACAACTATAACAAATAATTTGAAAGAAACCATCTCTTTGAGTAAAACAAAATAATGAATCACTTGTTTCACCGCTAAGCAAACCAATGTGCGTTCCAATGACGTCAAACCTTACCACCCAAAAGTAGGAGAACCTCACCTTAATTCAGGCATCAAACCAATTCAGTTCAGCTCAATTTTCGTGCGTCACAAAAACAATCTAGTTAAGCAAGACTCAGCTGCTTAACCAAATCATAATGTGAGCAAATAAAAAACCTTCTTTTTTCCGCTGTTGGAACTTGGAACCATCTAGGATCCGCGCATAGTAAAATATCAGGAAGGTGAACACCGCGATGAATAGCTATTGTTCCGCAACTCGACACAAGGAACAGGGAAAACCTCGGTGGCAAAACCAGAGACATATTCACAACGCCATCTTGTGGATAAGGCTACACCATGCAGGGTAATGTTTTTGAAGCATAAACCTTCAAATGATGAACCCTCTACACCTTCCAAAATTGGAGCTTTTGTAGAATTTACACTGACCACATTACTGATCAAAATATCTTTGAATGTAGGAACAGCTTTTGGATCCCACCCATCATCAGGGTGGTCATTTGAACCTCTACTGAACCTAATGGGTATCTTGACTCTCTCCATTCTTATATCACTTATACTAACATTGACTATATAGCCTCCTCGACCTTTGTCAGATTTTATCCGAACACCAGCTGCGGAGTCCCACACATGCAAATTCTCAATTGTGATATTTGAAATTCCGCCAGACATTTCACTACCTATGCCTACTCCAGAACAAGTTGGGGTAGTGCCGGATATTCTCCTCACTATAATATTTGTGCTAGGATGGGCCACGTTGATTCCATATTGATCCCAACCACTCTTAATGGCAACAAGATCATCCCCACTTTCTATGTAGTTATCTTCAATACATACATTGGAACTTGAGTCTGTATTGTCAGAAAGGAGATTCATTGGTAAGGTGATCTGTACCATTTGCTAACTGACAAGCAGGATAATAAAAAGGAAGAAAAGAGGATAAGGAGTAACAATGGAATAAGATAAACCTGGGTCTATGCCATCAGTATTTGGGGCATTAAGGGGAGCCAAGATTGTCATCCCTTTTATCACAACATTTCTGAAAGAAAACACAGCAGATTCAATCTCATCAAGTGTTTACGAAAGCTAAAAAAATACAAATATAAACTGAACCTAGTTTCTTACATGTATCCTCTACAACTATAATTAGTTAGGATATAATTGTGCACAATATAAAAAGATAACCAATAAATTGAACTTAAAAAATGTTGGTAGACAGCCTCCCAAACTCACGAAGGATGTGTTTGGTTAAATAGTTCGATCAAGTTCTCAATTCAACCAGATCTTATCACATTAAAACTTATATCTTGATTGTTTAAGACAAAAAATTTGCTGCAACTAATCCTCAGACAAAATGTGATTTTTTTTCAAGGTTATATTGCCTTCTTCGCTATAACAATCTCATGAGTATTATATGAAGGAATGTATTTAAGTAAAAAAAATGTATTTAATTAAATATTAATATTTCTATGAATACAATTTAAAATTCACAGGAATAAAAATTAATTAAAAATATGGTATTATTACTGTTTCAGCTTGAATACTTCGAAAAAAATTAAAGATTATATGAAACATGGTGATATTTAATTTCTAAGTTCATATTCCATGGAAAGTTTTTGTAAACTTTTAAACAAACATACTCCCAGAAGTGAGAATAGCCAAAAAGATCAAACCTGCAGTAAACAGGATGGATGGTCCAAAATGGAGAATTTCGAAAGGTGAGGTTTGATATGAGAACATTATCCGAGTTTATTAGTTCAAGGAGGTGCCCTCTTGTATGCTCCAATGTTCTGTTCCACCAAAGATCCCACCACATCTTTCCTTGACCATCAACTGTCCCATTTTGTCCTACAAAACCAGATATCTAATAAAGGCATGGCAACAATATGTAAAGCACATAGTCAATTATTTAACGGCGGTTTACAAGTATAGCAAACTTGAACTAAATAATCTTGTCTTTTCCTTTCTAATGGAATCACTAACTGCGTTGAAATGTCTAAAATATCAGTTAAATATGTAACCTAACCCTTCGTCTGGAGTAGTCTGTGGAGTCCCACAGACTTACTATTATTAATCCAAATTGACACTTCAACCCATTAACTATTTTTCTAACAAAGTTAATAACTGGAGAAAATTTCGTTGTTCTCTTTCCTCAATTAATTTGCTGTTGACCGAATGAATTAAAAAAGCCCTCATGTTTTACCTGTAATAACAACATTGCTAATGCCATTTCCATGAATAAGGCTAATGTGCCTTCCTCCAAGCCTCTCTCTCCCTCTTCCATAAGATGGCAATGCCTCAATTATTGGCCATTCTTTCAGGTCCTGTGGATCAAAATTTAAATTAATCAATAAACAAAACCATATTCTCATCATATTTCAGAAGCATAATCAACATCAAGGTAATCAAAATAAACCAAAATAAAAAAGTTATTAAACATGCATGATTTAGTCGGTACCATGTGGTTCCGTTGCACCATTTGTCGCCACAGAAGTCAAAAAGCAAATTCTCACCTTTTTTCTGAAGAAAAACAACTATATATATCCGATAAAAAAAAATTAAAGGTGACTTCTAAAAGGACATTATTTATTCTTTTTTTTTTCTTCATAAAACAGAGAAAAAAAAAAGATGAAAAATCACATGCGGAGCCCAAGCTGCACCCGCATATTCCTCCGTCAACCAAGCTGGTTATTATCATCAATCTTTATTGAAACGGAACAATTTAATTCGTAAATTACTTGCGAAACACAATCTAAATGGAATACAAGAACATAAAAAAAAAGGAGACCTGTGAGGCGAGAATAACGGCACCCTGTTGAAGAAAAAGCGTGAAATTACTCGTGAGATTGAAACTGCCAGTGAGCCAAGTCCCTGCGGGGATATTCAGCTGGGAGCCACCGCGGTTCTGGAAGCGCTGCATGTACCGAATCGCCCTCCGGAACGATTCGGTGTTGGAAGTGGTGCCGTCGCCGATGCCACCGAAGTCTTCGATGGACTTGACAACCTTCCCGGGCGGAACGTGGTGGAAGAAGGCCGCGCAGGTTGTGGGATGGGGCCCGGGCAACGGGACCGCGAGGAGCCAGACGGGCCTGGAGGGAAGGTAGAGGGAGACAAAAGTGACGAGGGTGAAGAGGAGGAAGACGAGGGCCCAGGAGGATCGCGTGCAGGGACCCAGAAGCAGGGCGGCAAAGGTTGTTTTGTCGGACTCCATGCGATGAATGGAACAGGGAGTGGATTCCGTTTGATTTTGTTAAGGTTGCGGAGGAGATGGGAGAGAAGATACGGTGGAGATGGAGCATAGGGTGGTGATGGTGATGGTGATGGTGATGGGTTGAGGTGAAGGTGGAAGGAAGTGCGTGTTGCACTGCCATTTGCATATCGGTGAGCGCGTTTCACACCAGGAAGTTTTGGGATGTAAGAAAGAGGAAAAAATTAAAAATTAAGAAAAATTAGGGTGGGGTGGGACCCAGTTCGGAAATTCAGAGAAAAAATATTTATATTTGACGTCTTCTTTTTCTTTGTTTGGTACGTGCGCGTCAAACAAACTCCCACTAATACAAGTCATGTGCGCGCGCCGTTACTCACGCTTTTGCTACCTCTTCGGCCACCCTATCAAATACCTCTCAATATATATATAATATATACATATGAAATATTTTTTAAAATATATAAAATTATGAGAAAACCATTCTTAACTACTATTATTTTATTTTTAATTCTTTGTATATACGTTTTAAATAAAAATTAACATTAATAAAGAATTAAATTTAAAAAATAAAAATAAATAAATTTAATTTAAAAATTCTTTTAGATAAAAAATAAAATTAAAATCTGAAAAATTAAGACAAAAGTTTAAAATATATTTTGATAACACGTATCACTAATATAAACTTAAAATACTTTTTATTAGTTTTTTTTGTTAAGTTTTAAAAACTAAGACACTAAAAATTTAATGTTGATTTAATTTCGTTTTGTTTTAAAAAAAAACGATTTTGGAGATAATTGTTAACAAATATTTTTTAAAATTATGAAATAATTATAATGAAAAAGTGTTTTATAAAAAAAAGATAAAATCTACAAAAATACAAAATTATGATGAGAATTGAAAAAAAAATCATAATTTTACGATATCATGATAATTATTGGTGAAAATATGAATAGTTTGGAGAACAATTATTTTGTTATAGTATTATGATAGAGTAATCATTCTCATGAAGATGTAAATAATAAAAAAAAACTCATGATTTAAAATAGAAAAAACATTTGTTATTAATTTTTAAAAATTAAAAAGGAAATAGATTTTTATTATCATAGTTTTATATAAAGTTATTTCTGGTATAAATGATATAAATATAAATTAATAATTTAATTCAATCTATCGATTATAAAAATAATTCTATTAGCATTTGGTTACATATGATTATGTATGTCAAAATTTATCTGTTTTATAACTCTTACTTTGAGTTATACTTAAAAATAATTTTGTAATGGTTGATAATATAAATTGGTGTATCAGTAATAATATAAATTAACTTAATTATGTTATTATTAATTTAATTAATTTTGCTATTTTATTAGAAATATTAATTGTATTGATATTACATAATATATTTTATCCAAATAATTTAATGTATATTACTCAGGTGGAAAATAATTTTGAACTGATATAGATTACGTTAAACAACTTTTTAGCTTAACATCAAAATTCGAAACAAATTAATCTTTATTTTGTACAGATATAAATTAATTCGTCTCTAATATAAAATTTCACACTGTAACTAAGAGGAAAAGTTTGGGAATTGGCAACGAAATAGAGGTTAAGATCTAGTGTAGTATTTTTAATAGAAATTATCCAATGTTCATTAAAACTTTACTTTTGGTAGATTTATAGTTTTAAAATTGTAGCACTTAAGAGGCGTATTTATTAGTTTGTTTTTACAGTAATAATTGGGTGCAGACCACCGTCCCGTGCGGTGGAGTTGACACGGTGGCTCAAAAGCTGCCGCAGACACTTTCATTTATTTTCCTCGGTCACATGTATCAATATTTTTAGGTCAAGCACGTTCATTTGTTTTTCTATATCGGAACGCAACTTTACACATCAATGCACCCTTGATAGGTGTGCACTTGTTTGATCTTACATGTTAAATTTGAATATGATTAATTAAAGAGTTCTGATAAAGATTGGAACAGTAAAAGTTTTAAAGTAATAGATGTAAAGGCAACTTAATTTATTGATTATATTAATTAAGTTGGTACATTTATCCATCGGTTAATAGTTTACTACTAGTTTTTCAATTCTTATTTAACAATTATCCTTAAACATAGTTAAATTATTTTTTAACAATTATCCTTAAACACAGTTAAATTATAATAAAATTTGACCATTGAGAATTATTATTTTTCAATTTATTATACTAACAGTACATACAAAAAAACTCATAACCTTCTAACTTATCTTATTGAATGACGCTATCAAACAATACGTTGATTATTTACGCTTTTTTTTTTAAATCCTCCAATTTATTTGAATTATATTTTTAATCTATTGTCGTTTTAATTTTTGTCATGTTAATTCAAGAATGGTGGGGTTGTAGTGATAAAAAGGAAATCTCACGATAATTATCAGAAATAATGCAGTCTCAGAAGGTAGGAAAAAAAAAAAAAGTGGAATGGTGACCTGGTAATTCGGACACAGTTCCGTTTTATTTTCCTTGTTATTATTTCATCCTGAATTCCTCTGATACAGTTCTTCTGGGATTTTATTCTCTTGATTCTTAGGTATGCAAATTTTGTCAATCACTACATTTTGAAGCCAATGCACACTTTTCTTATCAATCAAATGAGGTTCAGAGTCAAATGCACGTTTGATTTTTAATTTTTTTTTTAATTTCTATTTTATTATTGAATCAGTGCAATGGATTCAAGTTCATCCCCGGAGTTCGAATATTTGTTTAAGTTGTTGATGATTGGGGACTCGGGTGTTGGGAAGAGTAGTCTCCTCCTCTGTTTCACCTCTGATTCCTTTGAAGATCTTTCTCCCACAATTGGTTCGTTTATGTTTTTTTTTTTCTTTGTGCATTTCCATAACTCGTGTGCCTTTTGCTTTTGAATCAAGGTTTATGCATTCATTCTAATCGTCACAGGCCATAGTTAATGCTACAGTTTGTTATCCAGTGTGGAACGTCACTATTGTTCTTGTTTATGCATCATGTTCTCCGATTATTTAAATAAAAAAAGGTGATCTAGAGTTTCACGCTTTTATGCCTTGTTTGTTCGATTTATCAATGTAGGGGTTGATTTTAAGGTCAAGTATTTGGATATGGAAGGGAAAAAGCTGAAGCTTGCCATTTGGGACACAGGTGTTTACCCATGTTTATTTATAGATTGATTGATGTTTCCATTACAAGATGTATGCTTCTGCAAATTGTTTGCTTAGTATAATAGTGTTAAGTATGGATAATGATATGGTCTGATTTAATTATGAAGCTGGTCAAGAGAGATTCAGAACATTGACGAGTTCTTACTACCGAGGCGCACAAGGGATCATAATGGGTTAGTTTCAATTCTGTTTCCTCATTCACCACCCTCACAGTCAGATTTATTTATTGGGTGAAATGCTTTGAATTCATGTGAGAACCTAGAATGGAAGGTACCATAATACTTTGTAGGATGGTAGAGATAAGTTGTTTGCCTTTTGTCGAAAGCTCAACCGTGCCTTCGTATTGTTTGAAATAATATTTTCTTGAACCTCTCAAGCATGTCAACTGTTTGGTACTTGAGGATTCATACACTTCATACACCTTTTAAGTCATTTTCCTTGACCTATAGCTAGTGTTGGAATATCACTTCAATATCATTGCTAGAGTTGAAAACCATTATGTTGCTTGGGAGAGATTAACTATGCATTGATTGATAAATGATAAAGGTATTGTTAAGTAAATAACTTCCAGGGAAAAAAGTGTATACAGCTAGCTTGAACTATATACCTTTTATAATTGAAGTCTTCAACTTTATGGTGAATCCTCAAACTCCTAGAATTATGCCAATGAACCCTTTTGTTAACTTGGTTTAAGTCACTAACAGTAAATAAATCATTGCCATTTATTTAAAATGAATCGGGTCATTGGTTTATTTTTTATTTTTATAAATCACATTATCACATGAATTATTTCTGAATTGAGAAAAAGAAGGAAAGGAAGACATTGCTGGTCTATTTTCAAGTTCATGCTTACAAAACCATATCAGGCACCAATTTTAGTTTGAAGTTTATCTTCATGGAACCATATCAGACCAAGAACAAACAAGTAAATCTGGTTATTTGTGAAGAAGCTTCAGCTGCTCAAAAACACTTTGCATAAAGAACTCAAATAAGGTCTAAAGAATTCAAAAATTCTTTCTCGCTTCCAAAAGCTGAGTCATAAAGCTTTTGCGTGGTCGGAAGAATTACTAACTTGTAAATAAACTGCTACAATAATCTTTTCAAATGTCTTACCAAGGGTCTAAAATGTTGACCTTTGCAGGCTCTTGCAGCTAGGCGTTGCTACCCATTCATCTTTCACTATCCTAACTAAAAATCTCTGGCATTTTTGCTTGAATTGGAAGTAAGTCTTTTTTGGCAATAGTTTCAGACATTTTAGTGTATTTAAGCAAAATTTGAATTAAAAACTTTTCCCTTAGGTAATAAGAAATGAATAGAAGATATTTTAACTCGCCAAAATTTGCTTACTAATGATTGTTGAAACGACCACACATTTTTGGATTTTTAGTTTTGATTTTATTTTAAAAAAATTCAGAAAAAGTGATTTATAAAAATATAAAATAAATTAGTGGACATGATTTGTTTATCATCAGTGACTTAACTCCCAAGTTAACAGAAGGGGCTATTGAGATAGGATTAATCTAGGGATGAAATGAAACTTGAAGGTGCCCGAATGAAAAAAAAAGGGTAAATATAAGATTGTCTGTGTCCGCTTTTCTCTGCTTAATAAAAGCTTTCCTACATATATCATGCTTTGGCTTATTAATTGAATTTAGCTGTTGTTCGTGGGAATGATGCATTCATTTAGAAATATGGAAATGGAGCTCTCCTGGAGATATATTACTGAAATTTTGGTTTTAGATTAATCGGAATTCTTTTTGCCCATACTGATGCAGTTTATGATGTAACTCGGCGGGAAACGTTTACGAATCTCTCTGAAATATGGTCAAGGGAAATAGATCTTTATTCGACAAATGCGGAATGCATCAAGATGCTTGTTGGAAACAAAGTAGATAAGGTATCTTCTTTTATACCAAGTTTTTTAATTAAGTATATGATGAGAGAAAATATTAAGGGATCTAAGACCACCATTTCTCTATGTTGTTAAGTAATCTCTATATGATATATATTTAAAATTTCAATCTATGAGAATAAAAATAATAATATATGATTACATGTTTCATGGAGATTAAGCACATACATTAGTCAAGCATGTAGGATGCTACGTTGTCACTTTTAAGATGGGGTTAGGACAAAGTTGGGATTCCACTCCCGTTTTACATACAAGAAAAAAACACTAATCGGATGTAGTTTCCCTGGCATCTATCTACTGTGCGATACTCTTGTCCGACCAACACCCATCCATCTCCGGCAACATCCACCAACCATTCTTTCTCTATTTTGAACTCTAGATCACCTCTGTTATGAACTTTTCTCTATACAGCACCTATCCTCACCCGTTTGTTTTGCATAAAGCCTATGACTTATTATTAACTATGAATGTCATTAATCTTAGTTAACTTTTAAAAATATTGTTCCAATGATATTAAGTATATAACTGACCTCATTAAATAAAATAAAACGTATTTAATCTATATATAAAAATTTAGAATAGTAGTCATCCCTTTATGCACTAGACTACTGATAGTATTATTAAGGTCAGCCACAATGTATAATCAATAATGTACACTCTCTGGTTTTCAATTTTGGAAGTAAAATTGGGGAGTTGTTTTGGGCTAGTCTACTTGTCATTGATCTGTTTTGTTTGAGTTTTGACTTCTGATTCTTCTTTATTCCTAACCTTGATTGCTGATCTTCTTTCCTCTAGGAGGATTCTTTTTGTATTTATTTAGTTTTAAAGAAAGATAAGGAGGAAGTGTTTGTATGATTTGTTGTATTTAGCTTAATAGAAAAACATTGAATTAAATTGAGTCATCCGCTATAGGTTACCATTGGCACATATGTAATTTTCAATTTGGTCTGTAGGTATAAGAATATTTCAGCTCTATGATGCGTGATATCAGAAACTATCATCTTCACTAAATATTTTCTTCACGCTCTCCGTTAGAGGACATTACATGCAGGCTGATAACATTTACTTTTCAGGAGAGTGATAGAGTTGTGGCCAAGAAAGAGGGAATAGACTTTGCCAGGGAATGTGGTTGCCTATTTATCGAATGCAGTGCTAAAACTCGAGTTAACGTACAGCAATGCTTTGAAGAGCTTGTTCTGAAGGTATGCTGAGTAACACGTATATATGCCCATTTACTAAAATTACTTTGGTCCATAACAATGGGAAACTTGGAAACAGATTAGAATTCTATGACCTGTGATAATCATTATGTTAGTATCATAGAAAGTGACTAATATTTGATCTGTGTGCACCCAGATTCTGGATACACCTAGCCTCTTAGCCGAGGGCTCTAAGGGCACTAAAAAGAACATTTTTAAGGACAGGCCATCCGATAGTGCGACAAGTAGTTGTTGCTGATATTAAGAGACTAGCTATTTCACTCCAAACAAACTGCATAGATAGATCTCCAAGGGCATTGAATCCATTTTCAGAATCAGAGTTCTAACACTAGTTTATTGGTTATTTATACCAGCTGAAGAAGCCTTCGAAGATGAATGTGACTGATTTGACTTGCATGTTATATGTAATATGATCACGATGGTTGCTTATCTGCCATTTTTTTGGGATTTTATTGTTTATCATTGGGTTACATTTCATTTCATATATAGCCATGCAAGAATCATTGATTCCATGTTGCGGAAACCACTTATAATTGTATAGAAAGAGGACAATTGCAGAGGACTACAGTTTTCGTCAATAAACCAAATGAGAGAATGTTCTCTATGGAGAAGAAAGATGACCCTTGACATATTACAAACTTAGATGTAGTCATCACCTCTTCTCATTCTAAACTATTTTTAATAAATAATTAATTGCTAAGTTATGAAACTAATTTTGAAACCAACTTAAAAAGAATCCTAAATATTTTATTCTTGAATATGAACATCTTCCCCTTAAGGAAGAAAGAATCTGACCATCTTCTACTATATTATATACATACATACATATATATATATATATATATATATATTATTTATATAGTCAAATTACTATTTATACTTTCAATTTGTTAATTGTTTTTAAATTTTATTTTTACATAAACTATATCAAAATCCTTCTCCTTTCAAATTTTAATATTGACTGTCAAATTTAACATTCAAATTTTAAATTATTGTGTTCAAAATTATAAAATAAACTAATTATGCTTTTAATTTCTTTATTTTTTTATTATATAATTTTTTAATTTTTTTTAATTTTATCTTCTTATTATTATCATTGTCAAATTGTTTTTTGCAGAAGTTAACATTATTCTTTAATATCTAATAAAAAAATTAATGTGTATAGTTATTGACTTATATGATACATGATCATGATATATTCTTAATAATTTATCTTATATATTGACATGCATAATAATATAATCATCTCAATATTATATCTATTATTATTGTTAATTTGATTTCATTTTTATTAAAAAAAAATTGTATTTGTTCATGCACATACATATATTATTAAGAACATATTAGAAATATTAACATATATCATATTATCTACCAAATATAATTACATCATTATCACGTTACATTATTTTGTCAGACAAATGAAATTTAAGAAAAAAATGAAAAAAAGCTTTTTCTTAATTTTATTCATTTAAATTCAAAAGTAATATTTATTTTATTTGTTAAATTAAGATGATAAATCATAAAAACACCAGGATTTTGTTCTATTTTTTATGTAAATGATACAAAAACATATTTAAAACACATAATAAATTCTTTAGATCTTATATTTAAATGGCTTAATTACATATTTTGCTGTTTGATGTGTATGCTTTCCTGAAATTTATTATTGAGCTTTAAATTTTAAGAACTTTACCATCTACATCTACACATATCTCTCTCTCTCTCTCTCTCTCTCTCTCTCTCTCTCTCTCTCTATATATATATATATATATATATATATATATATATATATATATATATATATATATATTTCGGGCATTTAGATGTCAATTTACTATGTGAAGATGGAAAAGGAATTTAAAATTTCAACCAAAATAAATGTTTTCTTTCGGTTTTATTTACTATGGATAAAACCCTTTCCTATATTATCTTATTATTTCATGAGTTAATTTGACAGTTTAAATTTTATTAGCCGTGATTAACCCAAATTCATTTAATAGTTAAATTGAAGATATTTCATGGTTAAAAATGAAAATGTAAATTTATTTGTGTTTTATTATAAAAAAAAAAAAAAAAACTGTACATTTAGTGGAAGGAAGAAAGAGGAAAATTGGTGAGCAGAAAGTAGCGAGTAGGGTTGCAGAGTGGTGAGTTGGGTGAGGTGTTGACGAAGCTTGAGAATTGAGATATGGGTCGCAGTGTTTCTCGTTCTCCTTCCCGCAGAAGAAGATACTCTCCTTCTCCCGTTTCTCATCGCCACTCTCGAACTTCCAGGTACCACTCATCTCTTTATTCTCTTTTTCCCCTCGTCCACTGTTAACTATTTCTCTGGGTTGTTTCAGGCGCCGCTCTCCTTCCCACAAGCGCCGCCGAAGGCATAGAACCTCTTCCTCCCCCTCTCCTTCCCGTAGCCCCACTCCAAAGCTCAAGAAAGATCAAAAGAAAAGGTAGTCCATCACCATAACCAATCCTTTTCTTCGCTTTTTGAACTCGATTTGATTTGAATTGAATTGATCATAACTTCAAAAATTTCATTAATTGGGTTTCGTATTAAATGCACATAGCATAACTACTAGATGGCATTTTCAAGTTTGCGCTTGCTTCCTACACTCATTTTACATTTTTGCGATATTAAAAAACAAGTGTTGTTTATATGATATATACTAAAAAAATAAAAATAATGTAGCAATTATTCTGTGCAGATTTTAGCCTTTATGTCATTGTTCACTTGTGTTGTTTGAAAGGAGGAAAGAAAGACGGAATCTGTTGGAAGATGGTGTTAGATATTTTAAAGTCATGAATACAACTCATCTATTGATATGTCCATGATACCAGATCCATGTGAGAGTTTAGAACAACGGATTAATCGATTATTCACTTGGTCTGTATATTTTTCTCCCTTTTTTAGGTTTAGCCCCAATATGAGAAAGCTATAAGTTGTAGTTCCTACACGTGGATGTTTGCCTAAGTTTTGGTCTTCTTGCCAATACCAGAGAAGACTTTCTGGTGGTACAAAAGCACTGCGAAAACTTTCTTGTGGTGATAATAAACCACAACGAAAAACTGTGTAGTAACTAAAATTTAATAGTTTTCTCGTGCAGGAACTAACGCCTGAGACGGAGACAACTATACAGAACAAATTTGTAGTTTAACCAAAATATTTCTAACCCTTCACATTGTATAGGATTATCCCTTCTAAGAATGCAAGGATTTTGGTACTACACTTAACTTGATATAAGTTATATACCTGTTGGTGGTTTGAACATCAGGTCTAAACTCAATTCCCGTCTAAACTCAATTCCCGTCTATACTCAAGATAAGTGATGTAATTTTAAAATGCAACAGGTTAATTTCATTCTTCACTGGCTTTTCTGAAGGAAGTCCAACTTGTTAAATATGATGAACAATGGCTGCTTCCATTATCTCCTCTTGCACTAGAAACTTCATTTGTTATGGATCAGAAACTTGCTAGAGAGGTATGCCTTGTTAGCATAATAAGCTCACATTTTCGTGTCAATGGATGAAATGACTAGATAAATAATAAACAAATTTGAAAAAAACATTGATTTTACATATTTATCTAATTTTCTGGGTATATAAATTAGTATGACTTGCTTAGTTGTTTGTGCATCTTTCTTTTCTCATCAATGAGAATTAATTTTTGTTCTCCAACTACAATGTTTACCTTGGGCACAGGCGTCAACATGAGGAAGAATTGAAACTGTTGGAAGAAGAAACTGCAAGAAGATTGGAAGAAGCTATTCGAAAAAATGTTGAGGAGAATCTTAACTCAGAGGATGTCAAGCTAGAAATAGAAAGGCGTGTAGCAGAGGGAGTGAAGAAATTGTTTGATGATGTTGAAGCTCAACTTGGAAAGGAAAAGGAAGATGCTCTTACTGAAGCTAGAAGGAAAGAAGTAAGTATTCTCACTGGGCCTTTTTTTTCCCTTTTTATCCTCTTTCTCTGGAAAAAAATCATGGGCAAGCTGTTTATCATTATCTGAATAAATTACATTATAATGTTAGAAGGATTTCATGTCTATTAATTTTTGTGTCATATTTTCAGAAATTGATAAATTGAATTTGGAAAATTTATGCTGATTTTTGGGATACCTTTTAATAATGTTATGTCTGGTTAACAAGCTGTCACCGTATCAAAATCCATGATCCTAAAATTAGTTTGCCCTGTCAGTGTCAAATTATTGATGAGATCACAATAATCTGTCAGTGTTAAATATTAATCAGATTATAACAAGGTTCTTGGATGTGTATACAATATCCACATCTGGTTTAGTATTTATACTTTGCTCCAATTGCCTTATCTTTTGACATCTTTGCTCACTAGCACCATAAATCGTCCTGTAACAGTGTTCAATGTGTTTTTCCCTGCCAAGCCTGACAAATAAGCTATTTGAGGTTTCTATCTTCATGTAGGCATACTACTTTTAATTTGTGACCATGGTTATAATATCATGATCTGCCATATGATGGAATTCTTCAGCTTGGCAATACGAATTGTGGGTTGTATTGATTTTGTTTCTGAATCATGCATAAATTATCCAAATCCCACATGAATCGGGCAAATCATACATGAAACTTGTGAATTGCATCTTACATGCGAATCATGCACTTCTTCTGCGGTGAGTTATAACACTTTGCTGTCTTAGGGCTGTTGAAGTATTTATTAGATTAAGTGTATCTTGTTGGACATTTATGAGATTAGTTGTAGACCTAGTTCCTAGAATGCATCTGTTTATCTTCTCTAGGATTAATCATGTCTCTCTATTAATTGTATCTCTGAATCTGTATTTTTATCTCCTATAAATAAGAGAACACAAGAAGATGATTTCAGGCTCTCAAAATCAGTTCTTTATTTTCTTTTTTCTATTTCAAGTTGGTATCAGAGCGGGTTCATCTCGCGCTGCCTGTCTCTGTTTTTTTTTCTGGCATTAATCGCCGTTCACCGCCGTCTGCCGCCGTTCACCGCCGGTGCTGTTTTCTCCGGCGCCTTTTTCCTCTCTGACACTTGGGTTTGGCTCGCCTCGAGGAGCGCGACCCAACCCCAGTGTTCACTTCCTCTATCTCTGCCTCACGCGCCACCCTCGTCCGCGGCTTCCTCCGCGCATGGGCCTCACACGCCGCCCTCTCGGTGGCTGTTTTGCTCCAGGCCACCTCTATCCGGCTCGCCTCGTTGCCCTGGTGCCAAATCTGCACTTTGTTTTGTGTTCTCGGTCACAAAACGTGGTGGGTTTGCGTTTTTCTCTCTGCCTCTCTCGGTCCTCTCTCTGATAGCACGCTGGTCCTTTCTTGTTTCCTAGAAAATGTCAGGACCTGTGTCTGTATCTTTTTCTGGGACTCCGACTATAACCACAGAAAAATTAAATGGAAAAATGGAAAAAATTATTTGTCTTAGGCTTCCTCTGTTGAGCTCTGGTTTCTAGGTCAAGGAGTTCATGATCATCTAGAAGAAGATGGAAGTACTATACCAGCAGATCAGGCTCCTCAACGGAAGAAACTGGATTATCAACTTTGTGCACTATTATGGCAATCTGTTGAACCACATATTTTGAGCACTCTTCGAGCCTTCAAGACATGTAATTCTTTTTGGAAAAAGGCTCAAAATATCTTTGCTAACGATATTCAACGACTTTATGATTCTGCTAATAGACTAGCCTCCCTTAAGCAAGAGGATAATTCCATGATGTCCTTTGTTGCTTGAAGCTCGATCTACTGTTGAAAAATTAAAAATGTTCCTGGAGGCAGAATCATTAGAAGAAAGGAAGACGAAGTCTGGATAAATTCTATATGGTAATGATTCTTAGGGCTATGAATCCAGAGTTTAATCATGTTAGAGACCGATTCTAACTTGAGAAGAAGTTCCTTCTACGGAGAGTTTAATCACAAGGCTACTTCGTGTTCCTTCTATCAAAAGCAAAAACAGTCAGGAACTTGCTGATTCTTCTGCCATGATTTCTGCTCGTGGAAGAGGTAATCACAGCTCTAGAGGACGTAGTGGGAAAGGACGTCCTCAGTGCAAAAGAATGGGACATACTAAGGAAAATTGCTTTGCTCTGCACGACTTTCCTGATAAGGCAGCTAATACCTCAAAATATGAAGTTGATGAGCCCAAGTTCTCTCATGAAGAGTATCAAGAATATTTAAGGATGAAATCAACCAATTTGGCTCAAGCATCTACAACACCAAATTCGTCAACCGCTTGCATTTCGCAATCTGTGGAAAGTCAAAATCCATGGATTATTGACTCAGGTGCTTTTGACCACATGTCTGGTAATACCTCTTTATTTTCCTCTCTTTCATTTCCTAAAACATCTCATCTCATATCTTTAGCTAATGGATCTAAAATAGCCTCTAAAGGAATTGGTCAAGTATCCATCTCTTCTTCTTTAAACCTTCAAAATGTTCTTTGTGTTCCTTCTTTTCCATTCAGTCTTGTTTCTGTAAGCCAATTAACCAAATCATTGAATTGCTCACTAACCTTTAATGCCAATTGTTTTGTTATCCAGGAACGTGGTACGGGTCGACTGATTGGAGAAGGACGTGAATCTGGAGGCTTATACTACCTTAGGACTAAGTCATCTGTATCTTGTGTTGCGTCCTTATCCCCAAAACTGTTACATGAGCGATTAGGGCATCCTCATTTAGCAAAATTGAAAAAAATGGTTCCTGAACTTCAGAACCTTCAAACTCTTGAATATGAATCCTATCAACTAGGGAAACATACCAGGTCATCCTTTCCAAATCATTCTGAATCTAGATGTGATTCTGCTTTTAGTATTGTTCATTCAGATATATGGGGACCTAGTCGTGTTTCATCTTTTGGTTTTAGATATTTTGTTACTTTTATTGATGGGTTTTCTAGATGTACTTGGGTTTATCTTATGAAAGATCGTTCGAACTATTGCCTATCTTTAAGTCTTTCCTTAATGAAATCAAAACTCAATTTGGAAAAGTAATCAAAGTTTTACGAAGTGATAATGCCAAAGAGTACTTTTCTAATGATTTTTCTAATGTCCTAAATTCTCAAGGCATTTTACACCAGTCCACGTGTCCTCACACACCACAGCAAAATGGTATAGCAGAACGAAAAAATAGACATTTGGTTGAAATTGCTCGTACCTTATTGCTGGGTGCCAATATGCCTATTCATCATTGGGGAGATGCTATTCTAATTGCATGCTTTCTCATTAATAGAATGTCATCTTCTTCTCTTGATAATAAAGTTCCACACTCTATTCTATTTCCAAAGGAACCAATTTTTCATGTTTCTCCTAGGGTATTTGGATGTATATGTTTTGTTCATGACATGTCTCCTGACTTAGATAAACTCTTATCTAGAGCTATCAAATGTGTCTTCTTGGGGTATTCTCATCTTCAAAAAGGATATCGGTGTTATTCTCCTGAAACCAAGAGGTACTATATGTCTGCTAATGTCACCTTTTTTGAATCATCATCCTTCTTCCCTTATTCTATGTAGGATATTGATTCTGTCCAAACTGTGTTTCCTGTTCCCTTAGTTGAATCAGTTGTACCTCCTATTTCTGACACCCCAAATCCCAACCAAAATACTCTAGAATCAGCATCACAGCCTATCATCACCTATCAACGCAGGAACCAGGTGAACAATCCCATTCCCCAAGATGAGCCATCCATAACAGGTCCTTCACCATCATCCTCGAATACCACGGCTCCTGATAACGATGACTCCAGTTGGCCCATTGCCATTCGCAAAGGTACTCGTTCTACTCGTAATCCTCATCCCATTTACAATTTTCTTAGTTATCATAGATTGTCTCCTTCCTATTGTTCTTTTATTTCCTCTGTCTCCTCTATTACAATTCCCAAAAATGTGGTCGAAGCGCTTGATCATCCTGGATGGCGACAAGCCATGATTTCTGAAATGCAGGCTCTTGATCACAGCAAAACATGGGAGCTTGTTCCTCTCCCTTCGGGAACGAAAATAGTTGGTTGTCGTTGGATCTATGCTATTAAAGTTGGGCCCAATGGTCAGGTTGATCGTCTTAAGGCAAGGTTAGTGGCTAAAGGGTATTCTCAAATATATGGACTTGATTATTGTGATACTTTTTCTCGAGTAGCCAAAATGACCACTGTCCGCCTGTTCCTTGCCATGGCCGCCATTCGTCATTGGCCTCTTCATCAATTGGATATTAAAAATGCTTTTTTGCACGGTGACTTAGAAGAAGAAGTTTACATGGAGCAACCTCCTGGATTTGTTGCTCAGGGGGAGTCTGATTTGGTTTGTAAATTACGTCGATCCCTCTATGGCCGAAAACAATCTCCACGTGCTTGGTTTGGAAAATTCAGCTCTATTGTTCAAGCTTTTGGATTAAAACGCAGCGAAGCAGATCATTCAGTGTTTTATTGTCACACTGCCCCTGGCAAACATGTTTATTTAATTGTGTACGTTGATGATAATGTCATCACAAGGAATGATGCTGCAAAAATATCTCAGCTAAAAGAGCACTTGTGTAGTCATTTTCAGACCAAGGATTTTGGAAATCTAAAATATTTCTTGGGTATTGAAGTAGCTCAATCAAGAGAAGGTATTGTCATCTCTCAAAGGAAGTATGCTCTAGATATTCTAAAAGAGACAGGTATGATTGATTGCAAACCTGTGGACAGTCCTATGGATCCAAATTTGAAGTTAATGGCGGGACAGGGTGAAGTTTTCTCGACCCGAGAAAGATATAGAAGACTCGGTTGGGAAACTTATTTATTTGACGATTACTAGACCTAATTTGTCTTTTGCAGTTGGTGTTGTCGACCAATTTATGCAAGCTCCTTGTGTGGATCATTGGAATGCTATCATTCGAATCTTAAGATACATTAAAAAAGCTCCAAGACAAGGATTATTATATGAAGATAAGGGAAGTACCCAAATTTTTGGGTACTGTGATGCTGACTGGGCTGGATCTCCTATGGATAGGCGTTCCACTACAGACTATTGTGTTTTCATTGGAGGAAATATCATTTCATGGAAAAGCAAAAAGCAAAACGTTGTTGCCCGATCCTCTGCTGAAGCTGAATATAGGGCAATGGCGTCTCTTACTTGTGAACTTGTTTGGGTAAAACAATTCTTGCAAGAATTGAACTTCTGTGAGATTCAATCTATGAAGATGTATTGTGATAATCAAGTTGCTCTTCACATTGCTTCCAACCCAGTATTTCATGAGAGGACTAAGCATATTGAGATTGACTGTCATTTTATTCGGGAGAAGTTGTTGACTAAAGAAATCTGTACTGAGTTTGTTGATTCCAATGAGCAGCTTGCAGATGCATTAACAAAATCTTTGAGAGGACCTCGAATGGAATTCATTTGTTCCAAGCTTGGTACATTCAATTTGTATGCTCCAGCTTGAGGGGGAGTGTTGAAGTATTTATTAGATTAAGTGTATCTTGTTGGACATTTATGAGATTAGTTGTAGACCTAGTTCCTAGAATGCATCTGTTTATCTTCTCTAGGATTAATCATGTCTCTCTATTAATTGTATCTCTGAATCTGTATTTTTATTTCCTATAAATAAGAGAACACAAGAAGATGATTTCATGCTCTCAAAATCAGTTCTTTATTTTCTTTTTTCTATTTCAAGTAGGGCCATCATGTCTCACCTATCTGCTGTGGCTGGATTAGAGATATTTGTGGCAAAACTTGCAAAAAGTGGCCACTGGAGGGGGCAAATCATACATCGCTGAAGCTCTACATCTTCTGTTATACTCAGGGCTGCACTTACTGCTAGTAAGGGTTGAGAAGAGACACGACACGATTCACAGCCCTAAACCTAAACAACAGCGTTCTGTGTATTTTTTAGAAACTTGTGTTTCAATTCCAAGACAAAAAAAGACTGACTTTTTTACTTTGGGCCATGAATTATATATATTGGACTCTTTTAGTCATATAGGACTTTCTAATATCTTTTAATCAAAATATAGTAAAAAAGATGAAAAGTAAAATCTAGATTCACTATAATCATGTTTTATTTTCTAATTAAATTTAAATAATGATATTTTCTATTTAGATATTTTGGAAACTAAAATAAAAATTATTTGAGGCTTACATATCACTTTGCATTTGACTTCATAATTCTAATATATATGTTGTAAAATTTTAATTGGCTTCCTTTTTCTTTTCCTGGTCTCGTCTAATGTCTTTTGGAAATTGTGATGTGATGTTGTCATCGTTCAGGAACAAGCTCGTAAAGAAAGAGAAGAGCTGGATAAGATGCTTGAAGAGAATAGGAGGAGAGTGGAAGAAGCTCAGAGAAGAGAAGCTCTGGAGCTGCAAAGAAAGGAGGAGGAACGACAAAGGGAATTAGAGATGATTCAGAGACAGAAAGAGGAGGCTACTCGGAGAAAGAAGCTTGAGGAGGAAGAAGAACATGCAAACAGAATTAATTCTTTGGGTAAGAACAAATCTAGGCCTAAGTCTTATGGTTTCTAATTACTAAGTGATATCAATTTGTACCCTATCTAATCTGTACCCTTGTGTGGAACCATGATCTTGAATGAAAGATTTAATACTCCCATAATTGCAGCCTACTTGATTAAAAGATCTTAGAAATTTTATAAATATAATTTTCTCTTGAAGTTACTATTGTGTTGAGGTTTATTTGTTTTATATGGCGAAATGACTACTTGTTTATGCCGTGTCACTGGGTTTAGAACTTCTCACTTAGAAGGCAGTATTCAATGATCAATGAAAACAATTTCTTATCGTAGTAAATGAGCTTGTGTAAGTTGCAATCCGGCATCATGCCGTATAGGACTTGTATAGAGATGGTCTTCTTTATCTTTCCCCTTTAAAAGGGATTCATCCTATAGAGGCCTACTACTGCTTTCTCTGGATACAATAATTTAAAGAATTATATTTGAGAGTAAAACATTTTTACGGACTTGCGATAATCCTCTCATGTATACCAATTCATTATAAAAAATTGATATCTCAACTTTTTCCCCAGAATGTATACTTTTTAAACGAGTTAGAATTAATGGATGATAACAGGTTAAAAACGCTTCTAAGAGCATCAAATTTGAACTCTAATTTGATTGTGCTTCTGACTATAATTGGTGTGTTTGTCATAAGTAGTTGTTTAGGTCCTAACAAAAAATGTCTTATAATTTGATGAAGTGAGAGTTTTCGATGCTCAAAAATGATGATTGGTAGACAATTTGCAATTGTAAAAAACAACAACTCACCATATTAATTGCCGCCGCTTTCAAAGTTTGGGTGTCACTGCTAAGATATGACCAATATCTGCCACAAGTAGTAAAAAAACAGGAAAATTGTCTCATAAGTGAAAGCGATAGCTATTATGTGTAAACGCAGAAAATTAAAACTTAATGGTTTTCTAGTAGGCTTCTGGTTCTTTTCTATTTATTAGGTGGGAATGGCTAATATGTATACACGGGATGCATTGGTACGCCAATCATGATTACCTATCTTGCAAGTATCCATATATTTAAGAATTCATTTTCCAACACTAATTTTTCTCTTGCAATAACAAATCATAATATACGGTCAACTTTTCACCTCTATAATAATTATCTTAAAAGTCATACAAAAGGTAATTAGACATTATTTTATATTCTCAGTATAATAATATGATTATTTAAAGTCATACGTATTAGATTTTTTCTATAATTTTGAGATGAAATGAAACATCATTTTTTATTTATTTTATGATGCACTTTAATAATAAATAAATATAATTTTCAGTCTTGAATATTTACCAATGTCCATAAGTACGTTTATATATATACATAGGGGGAAAGGAAGAAGTTCTTCATCATTGCCATCCCTGTTCTAAGGAATATAATTGCCATATTTACATCCATGTTCTTTAAATTATCTTTTAAGAACTGTATTTGTTTCCTCCATATTCTTATGCGTCGGAATTCATGCTTAGAACTCATTTATTGCTGGAGCCTAAAGCATTCAATCCTTTCCCATTTATTAAACTTCTTTTTTTCTGTATTAAAAGAAAGACATGTTGAGTAAAGAAAATATAGTAAATTAAACTGGGACTCCTTGATATTCTCTTGAATTGGACATAATGCCCTTTTTTTTAAGGTTCTATAGAGATTAAGAAATTTGTTGTATGTCTTAAAAAATAAGAGATATCGAGCGAAATCTATTAAAATACAAACGACACGAGAATAATTTACAAAAATAAAAATAAAAAATTATAACAGTCTTGATGATCAATTTACCCAAGACAAGGGCACAACTTCAGTATTTGATCTTTCTATTTATATGTGTGAGATAATAAAAGTTAATTTCTAAAATCAATTTCATATTCGATAAATTACGTTTGGTTTTTCAGTTAAGACATATTCCAGGTTAACAGAGATAAAAATAGATGCAGTAAGTAGTGATTGATATAGCAAAAAGTATGAAATAAAGTGATTATTACAGAAGCCAAATAATTGGCCCCCACCCTGCACCAGGAAGGCAGTGAGAGTTGTAGCATGGCAGTCATGAAAGGGGAGGATCCTGGCTGAACAGTGACTAAGGAAGGAGTGATGAATGAGAATGAGAGTGAGAGTGAGAGATGGTAGGCAACACCAATAATCATGCCAGAATTGAGTAAGACGTAGCTTTACTCAAAGGGAACAGATCAAATATCATCCTGGACCACCCTCCCTTTTTTCCCTCTTTTTTATTTTGTGTCTGAGTTAATGTAGGTGATCTTCCTAAACCTATCACTGGATTTGATTGTCATTCCAAATCAAACGTATACCCGTTAACAACATTTGTATTTTATAAAGTATATTGAATAAAAATGTGCAAACTGACAAATTATACTGATTTTTATGTATATTATTGCTTTATTATAACATGAGAGGATAATATATATATATAAAAGATTCTCTTAATCTGAACTTTTAGTGAAGTGGTAATTATGAGTCATCAAAATAAAATTAATTAATGAGGAGTAACAATGACTAATATTTTTTGTGGACATTTTCTATCTTGGGTTACATTCAAGTAGTGTTTCAAACATAATCACATCCATTACATATTTTGAGCTGCATGGGAACTTTAACAATGGTTATAATACTGCTGGTAACAAAACAAGTCACGCTTTCAACCAATTATTATAGGTCCAATCATCATTTGATTTCCAAAAATGTTGTACCTGAATCACAGAAATCATCAATTGGTTATATATACGTATATATATACACACATAAACTCCCCTGTTAAGAATGCATCAAAATATATGATATGAAGAATATCAAAGTTTTTACCAATGTTATTGCAAGTTACAATAACAAATAAATAAATTGGCATAATATCTTTGTCTCTAAGGCCTTCTCACCTAACTAAAAAAGGATCATCAACCTACCCTTTTTTTATGCGTGGAATTGAAACCAAGATTAGTTTCCACTCTTTGGAGCAATTAGTAAACCAGTTTGTCCAACCAACCTATCCAATCCAATCACTCCACAACTTATGCATCAAAATCCATTTGTGGACACTCAGCAAAAACAAGAATGAGTTATAATAACGGGGGAGAACAAAGAAAAAGGTGTATAATATTCGAACTGGCCACTTTTATAAACTATATTTTATTCGGGTTTAAAGGTTTATATAAATTGTGTAATTAATGGTGAGATAGATAACTTAATATTAATTATATTAGTTAGATAATTGAACATTAAGTTCATCATTAATACTATTTAATAATGATTATTTTAAATCTTCTTCAAAATAATAAAATATTTAACTTAATCTTATAAAATTGATTCAATAAAAAAAAAAAAAGATTATACTCTTTATATTATCATACTTGCGATTTTGATAATTATCAATGGTGAGTAATGACCGCTCCTACGTTAGATTAGTGAGTAAAGTGGTGAAGTGAAGCCTCTTCAAATTTGGTCAACAAGAAAAGAGTATCCAAAAACAGAAATAGATCATTCCAAAGCTAAGCAACCTCTTCAAGGGTGTTCGTCTAATCCAAGAACTCTGTGTTCTTTTGGTGATATAATTCCAAGAACTCTTAACCGTACGTGTTAGAGACTCTTGATTTACGTTGCCTTAGATACGTTTTGGAAATTAATAAAATCTTTACCAACCTCAACGCAAGACTCGGTACTTAATTGTTGCGATACAACGCTGATATCTCAACCTCCATTCATCATCAAACGCACGACCTCTCTTCCTCTCTCACTCTTTTGTTTTTTCCTAAAAGAAAAATTTTACAAGCCAAACCAAAACTCCCCTTGATCTTCTTCCCTTTATCCTCTCCATCACATTCGAAGGGAAAGTTACAGAAATCACCAGATTTTCTCATGTGTCAAACAAACTAAGATTAGATGTTTCCTCTATCAACAAATTAACCTTTATATATACAATACCACAGTTCCGGTCTTGTCTTTTACTCATTCACTTTATATAATTCCCTCCACGTTGTGCACCCTCATGGTCATGGCTACATTGAAACACCCGTCATCGTTTGTCACATTGGTGGCACTTCTAGTGGTGGCTCTTTTCGTGGCTCCAACATCCTCAACATCCAGAAAAACCCTCAAGCACCACCCTTATCCAACAAATGGGTTCCGAGTCATGCTTCGCCACGTTGACTCAGGGAAAAACCTAACCAAACTAGAGCGTGTGCAACACGGGATCAAGCGTGGAAAGAGTAGGCTTCAGAGGCTGAACGCAATGGTGTTGGCAGCTTCGACCGCACCAGATTCTGATCAGTTGGAAGCCCCCGTCCATGCAGGGAATGGAGAATACTTGATGGAGTTAGCCATAGGAACTCCACCAGTGTCTTACCCTGCGGTTTTGGACACTGGCAGTGACCTCATATGGACACAGTGCAAGCCTTGCACACGATGTTACAAGCAACCAACACCCATTTTTGACCCCAAGACGTCCTCTTCGTTTTCCAAGGTCTCATGTGACAGCAGCTTATGCAGTGCCTTGCCTTCATCTACCTGCAGTGATGGGTGTGAGTATCTGTATTCATACGGTGATTATTCAGTTACACAAGGGGTGTTGGCCACTGAGACCTTCACTTTTGGAAAGTCTAAGAAAAAAGTTTCCGTTCACAACATCGGTTTTGGTTGTGGAGAGGATAATGAAGGTGATGGGTTTGAACAAGCCTCGGGGTTGGTTGGGCTTGGACGTGGTCCTTTGTCTTTGGTTTCTCAACTCCACGAACCGAGATTTTCTTATTGTTTGACCCCAATAGATGACACAAAAAAGAGTGTTTTGTTGTTGGGGTCTTCGGAAAAAGTGAAAGATGCAAAAGAAGAGGTGACAACCCCTCTTCTCAAAAATCCTTTGCAACCTTCTTTTTACTACCTTTCTCTCGATGGTATCTCTGTGGGAGACACTAGATTGCCCATTGAGAAGTCCACTTTTGCAGTGGGAAATGATGGGAGTGGAGGTGTGATCATAGACTCTGGCACCACAATTACCTACATTGAACAAAAGGCCTTTGATGAACTAAAAAAAGAGTTCATTTCTCAAACCAAGCTTCCCGTGGACGAAAATACCTCAACTGGGTTGGATCTTTGTTTCTCTCTGCCATCAGATTCAACAGAAGTGGAAATTCCAAAGCTGGTTTTCCACTTCAGTGGTGGAGATTTGGAGCTACCTGCTGAGAACTACATTATTGGTGACTCCAACTTGGGAGTGGCTTGCTTGGCCATGGGTGCTGCCAGTGGAATGTCCATATTCGGGAATGTTCAACAGCAGAACATTTTGGTGAACCATGATCTCCAGAAAGAGACCATTTCTTTCATCCCTACGTCCTGTGATGAGTTGTGATTGTGTGATATATTCACTGATTAATACATGCTTTTATTGCTTTGTTTGTTTAATATTCTGTCGCCAAACTCGTATTGTTATGATTGAATTTCTTAGTTGTGACAATAATATGAACATTTTTATTGTTTGTCCAAGTCAACTGCATCAGCACAACATATCATAGAAAATAGTTCTGCATTGCGATGCATGCATCATGGGTGGATACATAATTACCATGAGTTAACATTGAAAATGGTTAAGAAGTTCAACCACCCACCCACCTACCCTAAAATTAAAAGCTACTCCTCTACCTGTTCTTTGAATTTTACACCTCTATTACTTAACCATTACGAACAATAATAGACACTTATTATGTTCATCGCATGCTGCCATAGAAAAGCATCCCGCAAAACCCTACAACTTTCTATCATTCTGAAATCCTCGTGATTTTAGGTTCCATTCAAATTAGTTGTGCCCTTTTTTTCATGATGTTTAATTGTATCCAATAAAATATGCTACACAAAATACTCACATTTAGTTTTTATTCTAAATAATGAACTTGATTAGAATACACTCCCAGCGTAAACTACAATATTATTTAATTATAGATTGGGTCCTTTTCTACACTAGTATTTAATTATAAGCTGAGATTTTTCTATTGCATATGGTGTATTTAAAAAAAAAAATCAAAATAAATAAAATTTTAAGAAATTTATAGAATATTAGATAAACCGTGTTAAGAAACACGACTTTAATATAATAATAATAATAATGATATTAATAATTTTTAATATTATAATATATTATTTTTTATTATTATAATAATTATATTAATAATAAATAATAGTATTAATAATTAAAATAAAAATTACATCATATTATTAATTATAATAATTATTATTACTATTATTCTTATCATAGTTATTAATATTCTTTTTAATAATAGTATTATTATAACTATTAATATTATGATCATTATAATAATAATCATAATATTAATATTGTAACAATATTTATTATTATTATTATTATTTATTACTATAATTATTAATATTTTCATTGTTTATCATTGTAAATATTATTTAATTATATTTATTATTACTATTGTTATTAACAACAATGGTTCTTTTTAAAAGTATTATTATAATAATAATAACAGACATAGTTATTTTAATAATAAAAATAAATATTATAATAATAATATTTTTATATTTCTAATTATTAATATTATTACTTTTTATTAGTATGGTTATTATAATAATAACAAATAGTAAATTATAGTATTAAAAAAAAATTAAAAAAATAAAAATTAAAAAGACTTCATAATATAAATTTTATTTTTATTTAAAAAATGTTTAAAATAAGATGAAACACGACTTGTTCTTTTAATACGACCAATCAAAATCCATAATTTTTTTTCTTAAAAACACACACGAGAATGTTAAAAATATTGTATTCATAATATAATTAAGCTCATGTAATATATATAATTTATACTCCTATCCCATTCTTTCTTCATATTTGTCATATAAAGTTTTATTACACAAACTAAAGTATTAACTTCTTTTATTTTCAATAAACTTATTAATTTTTCAATGGTATTTTTATTATTTTCTATTTTTTTTTCAAAATCAACAATTAAAAAGAAACAATAGAAGTATTATAATTGTCCAAATTCTGTATGATTATTATAATAGAGAATACTGTCTCAAATTAGTATATCTTAAATATGTATTAATATAGTGATGCTTAAAATAATATTTGATAACACAATAAAGATAAATTATTAATATTGGATATGTATAATTTATTACCTAAAATATCTATCATAAAAAGTTTATAAATTATATCTCTAGTTTTATGACCTTCCAATTAAGTCAATAAAATCATTTGAAACATTAAACTATAAGTTCCAAGCTAGTTTTGCTACTACAATACCACACAAACCGACATTTTTAACCCTTTAAGGGTTGAGGCAAAAAAAGGTGAGTCATTTTGAAAATTCATAAAGAGATTCAATGAAGTAAGACTCACAGTCGGCAATATATCCTTAGATTTAATCATTCGTGTCTTAATAAATGGGTTAAGACAAGATTAATTCTTGGACAATATGCATGGACTACCTGGAATGGAATCTGTAGAAGAGTTGAGAATTCGAAATTCGTGATTTATATAGCTAGAAAAAGGTATCAAAATAAGAAAAGAAAGAGAATTTCAAGAAAAAGACTGTACATCTCATAGATATAGCTAAGCTAAGAGATATAAGAAAGAAGACAAAAGAGAAGAAAGAATATTTAGTCCCCTCAATGCTAGTATTGAGACTGTTTTGCGTGAAACATGTAATTTAGAGCTCATCAAATTGTTAGAAAAAGAGACTGAGATTAAGAGGGGGTGAATTGATCTTTAAAAGATTTTTGCAATTTACAGATTATCTATTTCAAAGATTAAGAGTTCTGACCAATCCTTGAATCAAGAAAAACAAGTAATTAAAATAAAGGTAGCAGCAGAATTAAAGAGAGTAAGGTTTAGAGAAATACAACCAAGATTTATACTGGTTCACCCAATCTCAGGGCTACGTCCAGTTCTCAGCCAAATTCCAGCTGAGTTCCACTAGATTGAATGTTTTATAGATTACAGATTCCAATCACACACCCAATCTATCACAAGAACCAAAATTCCAGTCCTTGCACCTAAACCTTCACCAAGAACCAACTTCCAGTTCTTGAACCAACCTGCAGCCAAATTCCAGCCACAGAAACCGTGCCTAACAAATCCAGGCACTCACAGTATAACAAGAATGAAAGAGAAGAAACTGGAACAATCTATCCCGGATTGTGCAGTCCCTGCAGTATGAGTTTTTTCAAAAAAAATTGCAAAAATGCCTCAAGAAAGAACTTTCAAAAACACTACAGAACTTGCGCGATTCTTTCTTTAAAAAATTCACTTATGATTACTTGATTGATTGCTCAAAGGTATATTTTAAAAGACTCAAACAATTCTGTTTATATAGAGATTTGTTTTAACTGCTGGTTTAATTAATCTGTTAAAACAATATTTTAATCTGTTAAAAATCTTGAATTAATCTGTTAAAACTTCTTTTAATCTGTTAAAATGTTCTTGATCATTTTCCAGATTTGTTTTAATTGATACGACAACATTTCAATCGATTAAAACACTTTGTAAAAAATCCCTTAAGTTTCAATACGACAACGTTTCAATCGATTAAATCGCAGTTTAATCGATTAAAATTATTTTGATCGATCATATATGAGATTACATCGATTAAAAAGAACTTCAAGTGGTTTTAATTGATTATTTCGAAGTTATATCGATTAAAATATTGTCAGAACACTTCCCAGAACATTTTAAGTGATTTTAATCGATTATTTCGAAACTATATCAGTTAAAACACTGGCAGAAGGTTTTTAAAAACTCCTTTAATGAAAACAATCGATTAATTCAAGAGTGTATCGATTAAAACAATTACAGTGAATGTTTTAAAAGGTTTTAATTGATTATTCCGAAAACCTATCAGTTAAAAAATTGTTATATAAGTTTTAAGAACATTTTAATTGATAAAGCTCATATAATATCAGTTAAAACAATTTCTTAAAAACCATTTAACTGATTACTTTGGTTTTTAAAAGATTAAACATCTTTAGAGGCATTTTCAAAATATTTAAAATGATGAAACCTCATGCAGTAGAGATATATGAATGATTATACTTATGTATAGATGCAGACTCACTAATCACTCTACCCTTTTAACCCAAGTAACCTTTGACTTCATCAGATTAGTCTCTGACTTCATCAAATCAACAAGATCTTGATTCAGGAAGATCTTCATCACTTTCAAAAATTACCTAAACCAACAAACACACTCCTAGATGTAGATAGATTAAAACAATGTGCATGACACCAAAATTAAGGTCATATTACAGAAAATTGCAAAAAAAATATGAGAAATCATAAAAGATCTTGTTCACATTGGATCCTTAAATAGATTTGTTCAACATTATAAACATGAAAGAGGATATAGATCAGATAGTTATAGAGGATACTAAAATCTAGAATGAGGATGATACGATGGTCAAGAACGAGAACGAGAATGAGATCATCCTCGGGGCGATAGACAACCCAACACAAGTCATCCTCATAATGACCTAACTGATGGATAGGTTAGAGGTGTTATCAACACCATTGCTGGAGGGTTTGTAGGGTGGAAGCACAAGCTTAGCTAGGAAGTGTCACTTGAGAGCGGTACGCAATGTTAATATAACCTGGGCGCCCCCAATCATTCTCTCTAACAAAGATTTTAGCTCCCATGACCCCCAATAAGATGATCCTATGGTAATCATTGTCTATATTGCAAATTGGGAAGAGAAGAAAACATTGATTGATCAAGGAAGCTCGACAAATATATTGTATTGGTTTACTTTATAAAAATGAATGTTTCACATGATTGTAGGAGAGCAAGTTCATACTCGTGTATATTGATCTTTTGACTACATTTGGGAAAAGAGAAGAGGGTAATACTTTGATGTAAAATATATATTGATATAAGCTAACACCTCCTATAATGTACTAACAGGACGAAGAACTCTGAATTAACTCAAAGCTATTGTATCCACTCATATGGCTATGAAATTTCCAATGAAGGAGGACAAGTAACAATAATTAAAGTAGATCCAAAAAGAAGATAGATAATGTTATGCTCTTAGCTTTAAAGCTTGGCCTTATTCTCTAAAGAAAGGTATACAAGAATCTACGTAGAAAAATATTGAAGAGATAGACGTTGGTCCTCAACGAGAGATAAGAAATGGCCATCCACAGATAAATAACTGAGGTACAACTTAGGGGTAAATCAAGATAAGTAACTCGAATAGGAGACAAAATGGATCTTCGAACCCAGATAGAAAATATAACAAAATGCTCTGACTTATTTGCATGAAGTGCAAGCGACATGTCAGGTATTGATCCAGACTTTATGTATCATAAACTTGTTATTTCACTTGATGCAA